CCCCTCCAAAAAAAATCCCCACCCCAACTCCAACCTGCAGGCCCTTTCCGAGCTCTCCGGTTAAATATATGTTATACACTTTATGTACATGTGGGACCACGGTGGAACATATATGTATCGAAGTTCGTGATGGGGCACGGCAGTGTCCCAATTTGACATGCTACAGGAGTAAAGAGGGAAATAAAGCTAAATCTGTAAAATGTACAGGTTAAATGAATTTAATTTAATTTGGTCTGTAGCAACATATTGAGCCACGAACGTGCATCTTAACTGTATCACTACCGCGCTCTCCCGGGTCCCCCGGCGCTGTCTTTGACTGTAATTTGTATATCCGCCTGTGAGACGCAGATCATTGAAACTTCGTCGGTAATCATGCCGCTGCCAAAGAGAAAAGGGATTCAGGGCATATACAACTATTTAGTTTATGGACAAAAACTGAATAAACGGACGATAGAAAATTTGAAGTTGGGCAGACTTACAATAATAGTTTTGTTATTTTCCATTGGGTTCAACAAATTCACACAAAGAAATATGGGTCCGCCGAGGGTGTCTAAGTTGGAGTTAGAGGACACCGAGTCTGAATCACCCGAACTTTTTCACAACTTGAACCACCACAACGACAGGTATGTGATGCAGTTTTAACTTTATACTGTGAAAAATATAACACGTTTATGATTTTACCTGTACAATTTACAAACCAGGGTTTAGGTGCACTCACTCTAAATGGTCTGGGTTAGTTCATGACTCAGTATTGTTAGCTTAAGGTCAATCATAATTATGTAAGCTGTGACATATCAAATGCAAATATGTCATCATTCTGGGCATTTGAAGCATTTACTTTCAGTTTTTTGGTAACAGTCACTACATGGATATTCAATGTGTACATAGGTGTGGTTATTATTTTAATATTTGTATTATGAAAGGCTGACAAGATACAAGCACTTTACTAGAAATGATGTAATGAGATAATAGTGAACATCTACATATCACATATGTGTTGCTATGTAATAGCACGGACTTAGATAGTTCCGTGGTAATAGGAGCGTTAAAGCACTTCTCAAGTGTAATGCACATACATGCTAATATAGCAAAAGATGAAAAATTGACATAATATACACTAATATAGTGTAAATTAAAATACGAAGACAAGGTCTAGTAAGTACAAAAATATTGAGCTATAACAGTGTCCCTGGCTATAATGATGATTAGAAGAGACACATATAGTTCTTGCCCCTAACGTTAGGTAAGACAAATTTTAATTATATTTGGTGGGCAAATACTATTAGTTATTAGGCCTCGATCACCCCCTATGAATTTTACTGACCCTCTATGGCTCCAAACCATATCACAAATATATCTCACCAAGGACCTTTTTATACACCTGGGACATATTTTGTCCTGCTCAAGTGTCTATAGGGCACTGTCCGGTGGACTAAGGAAATGTGTATTTTCTGGCCAGAGATAAAGTCCACCGATGAGAAGCAAACAACAAATATTGCCCCCTAAGAAATTTACTGACCTCCTATAGTCTCATAAGGGATCACCACGTGACCCGATTTTAACCAATCAGATGCAACAACATTCTGTCCGAGGTGCGATAAAACAATATGTGTATTTCCTTCAAAATCATTCTGTACACTTATGTTTACACACAGAATTAGATTAGATTTGTATTTGTCAAAATGTATAAATAATTGTCATCCTAAAAAGACTACTGGTAATTATACATATTGATTTGTACTATACAGACATGCCTTTTCCTTGACAGTGACCGTGCAAAAAAAGTGTGAATCAAGCTGAATTCCGACAGTGGTGATCAATGATGAAAGATTTTAGAAGATGATGTGTGATCCGAAGATTCTACTCACAAGTCCGATGATGGACATGTACAGCTTACATAAGAGTGTTGGACAATTTGACAGCTCATGTCCATTTAAGGATTCTTTTGAAGTTTAGTCAACGTTAGTAAAACTTTTTATTTGATGCTTCTATCATTGTTTATACACCAGTGAACTTCCCATTATGATCCAGATCCAATATACAGCTGCTTCCAGCGGGATTGGGCAGGGCAAGAATGCTGTAAACCTGTAGTGGAACTTACCATAAGCATTAGCTTAATTTGTGATGTTAATAATAAAAAATATGAGGAAAACTTGAAGTAAAGTAATTATTAATTAATGAAATCTAAGAAACTAGTGGCTATATATCCTTAAAATGTGATAAATAAATCATGAATGTAAACACTGTGCTTGTGTATTGATTTAAAGATTAGCCATCCTGTTTAAGATTCAAACTTTTATCCAGTGATTATTACTGTCTTGTATTATCCTGAACGCTACTTGTGAAAATAATGAAATTCAGCAGGAGTGGTTGTGAGGATGAATGCGTGAATGTGTTTTCTTTTACAAAATTGTATGTATGTCTAGCAGTGTATATGTACTTCATCTCTTTTCTTCTCAGAAAAGCATGTTTCTAAATAAATAAAATGTGATTGACAATTTGTTTACAGTTCTTATCAGTTTCATCTTACACCTAGTATACAGTATGTATGCTCTGCACTCCGGATTAGTACTGGTACATTTAGTAAACCTCTGTGTGGACATGATACCCTGGGGATCAATAACGGACACAATTTTGAATTTCACACGTTTAATTTTTATTTTCAATTCTTACAGTAGGACAAACTACATAAAGTCTATGATGCCACTGGCAAAACATCTTGACCTATGGGTCTCTTTGTTATAAAAAAAATACATAAAAGTTAAAATTTGATCCCTGTGACCTTGAAAGTGGGTTAAGGTCATTCATGGGAGCAAACTTGTCTGGCCTTCATCCAAGCATGCCTCTGGCTATATCTCGTGAACCTATGAGCCTCTTTAATATTCAGTAGAATGTCTATAGATTGAAAGATTTGAATGCATGTGACTTCAGCAACCTTGAAATCTTTGTCAAAGACATTCATTTGAACAAACCTAATAGTCCTTAAAAGACATTCAAGCATACTACATATTTAATATTGTGAAATAAGTGTTCTTGATTATTCTGAAATTGATTTCACGTTTTGACACATTTGACCTCTGTGACCTTGAAAGGGGGTTAATATTAAACAAACTTGATAAACTTTTCCCAAGCATGCTACATTTCAAAGATCATGACCCATGGCCTCATGGTTATTTAGAAGTATTTTTAAAGGTTTCAACAAATTTGACGCCTATGACCTTGAGGTTATTCATATGAACATACTTGATAGCTCTTTACCCAACACATTTAAGTGCAAATATCATGAGTTAAGGCTTCTTGGTTGATACAAAAAAGGCCATTTTGTACATTAATAACACCTTAGTGTACATATTTATGGCCAATTTCACATCTTAGTAGAAGTCATTTGTCTGATGAAGGTGACAGAACATATTGTACTTATATTAGAATTTTCCCGCATACATAGGTTATACTACATGTATATACGAACCTGATTTTAATCTATATTTACTAACCTGAAGAAAATGTTTCAAGATATACATTATTGTAATTAAATGACTTCCTGAAGAACTGAAAGGTTGATTTCGAGTCATGATATACGACCAGAAGTTTGCTGGCATGAAATGCTTCAAAGTTTGTACACAAAAATGGCTCTTCTAGCAGGTGGACTAACAAAAAGGGAACAAAAACTGGAGATGAGTGATATGACATTGCTTTAATTCATTCAAACTTGGACATGCATAAAATTAAATATGACCAGTGAAATCATGCATATCATTAAAATATATTTGATGGTTCATCAACCTAGCATACATTACCAGTAATCATGTACATTCAACAGTAACGATCAGTGTATAAACATGTTTTACCACAATTAATTACAATAATAATACATTGAATTTTCATAATAAAATCTTGTATCTGTTGTAATGAAATATAGTATATATTATGTATCAAAATTAGATAATTAAATGCATATCTTTAATAAAGACTTAATTCAATATGACCTTAAATTATATCATTCAACATCTATAAACTCTACACCATTTTATCGCTAGCAGTCTATGCCACAGTTTTCTCACTTTTTAAGTTTTGTTGTTTTTTGTGTGATTGTTTATTTGTTTTTTGATAGTCATTGTGGTATTACTAAAGTGTCTTATAACTACGGAAATTTTCACTAGGATTTCAAGACAAAAACTAGCTGAACAACATATATATCAACAGTAAGGGTACTAGTAACATATTCATCTCTTATGTGCTAACCAAACAATTTTAATAAGATTGAAAAAAAAAGGAAAAAAAATGTATGAAAACACATGACTAATTTTTCACTTGCAGATGGAACTTTTCAATTTTGTCATTTTTCTTCTTTTACATTAAAATGATTTATTGTTGATACATTCCGTGCCAAACCTAAACGCCATTAGACCTATAAGCCTGATATTAAAAACAATTCAACCTATGGTCATGGCAGAGTCAGACTGCTAGCTTTTATAATCATAATGAAAAATTTTGGTAAATATAATATATAGATATACATTTATATATGTAATACTAGTTATTAAGATCATCCTTACAGTTGAAATAATTAAGACATTGAATGAATTTATCACTTCTAGAAGATTCTACAGACTTCTGTCTGAAGACTGTCCTAGAGATTGTTGGGTGCCAAGGGAGACACCATCTAAAACTGGAAGTAAAAAGATAATGAAAGACAACAGGAAAGATAGGATACAAAAAATATCCCAGGTGTTACAATAGCAAGAATACTATGTATTACACTTTGTCTACAAATATACACTACAGTATACATGTACTACACTTAATTTGGTCTATCAACACATGTATTACACATTTTTCAATTACAATCACAGGATGATGACACAAATGAATAGTAATTGATTATTATTAGGTAAAGGTACCAATATATCAGTTATAATCTCATAGTGTTTTTAGCTGTAGTAATGATATAGTATAATTTGTTGGTACCCTTTAACTTGTCAGAGAAACTTCCATACTATTTGGTATATTGACACTGTAGTTGTGTAAAAGCATTTGGTACATTGTATCATACATGTATGTACACGCTTTTGATTGGTGTTGGTATGTTTGTGATAAGAGCGTTGCCAAAACAGTACATTGTCAATTTATATAGTACAGGTTTGTATATACTTTCTTAAGACTCTAGGGGAGAACGTAAGAGAGCTCAACGCCTGAATTTCGAGGATGAATGTGTGCAGAACCTTGTACTACATGGCTTGAGAATGATGGTATCACTTTAATACCAGTACGATCCACGAGGTATAGGCATGTACTAAGAATAGAATTTGTGTAAGGAGTCATAGTATTATATACAGAGAAAACAGATGAATGGTAGGCATACATTTTTACACTAGAAGATATTAAATTAATATAGTCAGTGCAAAGTTATTCAATGCAAAGGAAAATAGAGAAAGATATAAATTAGAACTTTATAAATACACCAAGTACCAGGTACTTTGAAAATGTCCTCAATCAACTTTATAAGATATACATTGAAAAAGCCATGTACATTTTGTAAAGTCTATACAGTTGTTAGCTAAAGTGAAATGTATGTATAGACAGGACATCCAGTTAATTCAGTAATGCAGAGCTCTGGATGATATATTATACATAAGTCGAATTTACTAACATTTCTAAACAGTGCTTGAAATCACAGTTTCGATTCAGGTATACTTTGAGGTGTAATTTTGAGCAAAAGTTAAAGCTTTACTGTTTGCTAGTTAAGTTACAGACACAAACATGAACACACGATATGCTAGTTTGACTTCTAGTTACATCTGAAATAGTTGGCACCATGTTTTAATAAATAGTTGACCATTAAAACGCTTTCAATTCATAACTACGTATTAATGAAGATGTAAAAAAGGTAACTGGTATTTAATCATAACAAAACAAATTCACACATTTCAACAAATGTTAAATCTTTTATGCAAATTATACAAGTTGTAATTTAAATACTTAAAAAAAATTATGACATAAGAATCTAGTTAGATGAATAATTTTCATAAATATCATATAACTAATATTTCTAGGTATCTACTAGAAAAATCTGTATCAATAAAAAGCTTAAAGGGGTATGTGTAACACAAAATGGGCTAGCAATTAGAATTTGGCTACAGTATCTGTTTGCAGTTGTTTAACATATAGAATTGGTCATAATATAATTATATAGACCTATACACTTTCAATATTTTGTAGAATTGTTTTCTTACAAATAGCATAAAATCATTTTGCAAAGAGAACATTTGTGAAAACAAACAAACAAACAAACAAATAATATATGAAGGTTAATTGTGAAACGACTTCCACCGAAGTCAACTATTCATAGGAAATTTAGCACTATATCATATACTGTATACCGTGAAATTTTTTCCCAGTCAAAATTTAATTCACTCTTGTCGGAATAATCCCTACATCTTCACCCGGTGTTAGCCCTTTACATTTCACTACTATATACATTATGTTGTTGACGTATGTCTACTGTAATGGTAAATGAGCCCTCATTTCTGCGGGCGAAAATGTCGAAAATTTAACAGCAGTGTACATTTCCTGGTATACAGTATATCCAAGCATCATTTAATAAAATTAGACAATCTATCACATCATAGTTTCTCTGGATGTATTTGTGTAAATAATATAATCGTTGTAATATCACAGTTTCTTGGTATATTCCTCCAGTAAAAGTATATCTGGTTATATACAAATTTAACTATGTAATGTGTTGTAGCTATACAATATTCTTAGAAGATTTGTTCACAAATATATAATTACAAAGTTTGTAACTCGAAGGGAATTGATTTTTATAACAATAATTGATGTCACACTTAGATTGATATCCTTATTCTTCTTGCCCTTGGCAATATTTTGTTAAAGTCAAAATACACTATGCAACTAACCAAATATTTGATTGAATCAATGTATATAATTTTGATAACATTTATGGGTGGTGACCAGCTAGATTAACAAGAATGTACTTTGCTAGATACGCATCACATACAACAGGTTACTAATATACACATCAGATATAGCAAGTTTATATCTAAGTAGATTATCTGAATCATTGTAAAATGTGAAAGTGATCAGACATTTCAGCCTCTGCCTTCTCTAATGCATGCACCAATGTATCCTGATACCGGGCAGTAACAATGTATCCTGATACCGCAGTACCAATGAATCCTGATACTGGGCAGTACCAATGTATCATGATACCCGGCAGTACCAATGTATCCGGATACCGGGCAGGGCAGGACCAATGTATCCTGATACCGGGCAGTAAAAATGTATCCTGATACCCGGCAGTAACAATGTATTCTGATACCGGGGCAGTACCAATGTATCCTGATACCGGGCAGTACCAATGAATCCTGATACTGGGCAGTACCAATGTATCCTGATACCGGGCAGGGCAGTACCAATGCATCCTGATACCAGGCAGTACCAATGTATCCTGCTACCGGGCAGTACCAATGTATCCCGAAACCGGGCAGTACCAATGTATCATGATACCGGGCAGTAAAAATGTATCCTGATACCGGGGCAGTCCCAATGTATCCTGATACCGGGCAATAACAATGAATCCTGATACCGGGCAGTAACAATTTATCCTGATACCGGGCATTAACAATGTATCCTGATAACGGGCAGTAACAATGTATCCCCACACCGGGCAGTACCAATGCATCCTGATACCAGGCAGTACCAATGAATCCTGATACTGGGCAGTACCTATGTATCCTGATACCGGGCAGGGCGGTACCAATGTATCCTGATACCAGGCAATATTTTAGAACAAAGTAACTTTTGATAGTAATGTACACGTTTTACCGGGCAGTACCAATGTATCCTTATACCGGGCAGTACCAATGTATCTTAATTCCGGGCAGTAACAATGTATCCTGATTCCGGGCAGTACCAATGTATCCTGACACCGGGCAGTACCAATGAATCCTGATACCAGGCAGTACCAATGTATCCTGATCCCGGGCAGTACCAATGAATCCTTATACTAGGCAGTACCAATGTATCCTGATGGGCGGCAGTACCAATGTATCCTGATACCTGGCAGTACCAATGTATCCTGATATCGGGTAGTACCAATGTATCCTGATACCAGGAAGTACTAATGTATCCTGATACCAGGCAGTATTTTAGAACAAAGTAACTTTTGATAGTAATGTACACGTTTTACCGGGCAGTACCAATGTATCCCGAAACCGGGCAGTACCAATGTATCATGATACCAGGCAGTACCAATGTAGCCTGATACCAGGCAGTACCAATGAATCCTGATACTGGGCAGTCCCAATGTATCCTGATACCGGGCAATAACAATGAATCCTGATACCGGGCAGTACCAATTTATCCTGAAACCGGGCAGTACCCATGTATCCTGATACAAGGCAGAACCAATGTATCCTGATACCAGGCAATATTTTAGAACAAAGTAACTTTTGATAGTAATGTACACGTTTTACCGGGCAGTACCAATGTATCCTAATACCGGGCAGTACCAATGTATCTTAATTCCGGGCAGTAACAATGTATCCTGCTACCGGGCAGTACCAATGTATCCTTATACCAGGCAGTACCAATGTATCCTTATACCGGGCAGTACCAATGTATCTTAATTCCGGGCAGTAACAATGTATCCTGCTACCGGGCAGTACCAATGTATCCCGAAACCGGGCAGTACCAATGTATCATGATACCAGGCAGTACCAATGTATCCTTATACCAGGCAGTACCAATGTATCCTGCTACCGGGCAGTACCAATGTATCCCGAAACCGGGCAGTACCAATGTATCCTAAGACCGGGCAGTAACAATGTATCCTGCTACCGGGCAGTACCAATGTATCCTTATACCGGGCAGTACCAATGTATCTTAATTCCGGGCAGTAACAATGTATCCTGATTCCGGGGCAGTACCAATGTATCCTGATACCAGGCAGTACCAATGTATCCTGATACCAGGCAGTATTTTAGAACAAAGTAACTTTTGATAGTAATGTACACGTTTTACATCATATCCATAGTTTACCGATGTGTGAGGTGAACTTTAACAAACCAGACATGGAGTAACCAGAACAAGTGTGCCCGACACTTACATACATATATACATTTAGAAACTCAATAACATATTCTGCTTGATAACACCTCATTAATTTTTGATAAATATATATAACCATTCTGACAGTACATTAACAATGATGAATGATTAATTAACAATGAAATTACCTTCATAACCTTTGAAAGTGTTTATTTTCTTCCAAGGTCAGGAGTGAATATACATCATAATATTTCACAATAAAAAGCTGTACTATATAAGATAGTACTACAATATACAGTGTCCCTCCAGACACCAGACACTTACACACAGCCTTATTCATGTTTTAAATGTCTTTATGATGAGGTAAGAACTTGCCAAATTCTCCATGAATTAATGCAATCATCTGCTCTGGAGTGATTTTGCTGCACTACGTACATTACATAATGTGTACGAGTGTCTCATTTCAAACTACATCCAGCAACCTAGTATTATCATAAATAATACCACACTACTTAAATACTTTCTTTAGCAGAGAAGTTCACATTGTATGGCAAGTATTTGTTGATGATGTCTGGCAGAGTTGGTACCCCTCCCCTACCACAGTCTTGTATGAGAGTAGTGTCGTGCCCCGATCGTATGGTGGGTTGGACTAGCTGCCCCAGGATTCCAGTTCATGTTATGTAAGGGCTTGTAGCGGTCAGCATAACCAGACTTGTAGGAATTGTTGGCGAGGTTAGGGAGAAGTGAAGGTGTCATATGGTTCGGAATTGCTGGTGAATTACTAGAAATAGAAAATGGATAAACAAACATTAAAAAATGGTCACAAATGTACCTGTACAAACAGTTATGTATAACAATAAATGTATTAAAAATCTATTTTTATAAATTTTATTACAAATATATATATCAACAAGCTTTATTAAATCCTATTTGAATATCATTCACTTTTGTTACTCATACAATACAATTATGTATCTCCAATTTTGTTAATGAACTAATTTAAAAAAAAAAAAATACTGAATGGAAAACTTACATGTTTTGTTTATAAAAAAGTAGAAGAGTGTGGACTTGGTACATATTCAAATAAAAAACAGATTAGGGTAAGTCAAAAATGGAATTTCATTGACAGACTAGTAAATATGGATACATGATTGGAGTTGTAAGCATTTTGTTTTTCTTATTTTGATACAATCTTCAGAGTTAAATTACTCATGAAATATGTCAAAATTAATGTAGCAATGTAGCAGTATGAATTTTTATATACTGTATTTGTATTTGTTGTAGTTGTTTTTTGTAGATGCAAGTTCTGTTCAAATTAGATATAGATGACATACGTACAGTGGCCTTTTATTATACTTACTGATATTACATATTTTTGTATGAAAAATTTGAATAAAAAAAAAATGGTTATGATAAAAGATAAATAAAAAGAACCTTGTCACCTTACACTGATACTTTTCACTAGCAACTTTATTGTAACAACAAAGTTTAAATCACAGTAGTGAAGCCTATATGCTGAAAACAGATGGGACAGTTTCAAAGCTGGCAGCTGTTGCATCCAGTCGAAAAAGAGTTTCAAATACATTTGTTATTTTCTACTTGCAACAAAGCGGTCGCGTTATAACACATTATATGACAATGAATTATTGGGTTTGGAAGATGCATGAGCTGGCAATCAGGATATACTCACCAAACAGGTTTAAAAGTTAATCCTGAGTACTAGCCAGTCCATGATATAGTTTATGAAACCACTCAAGATGAATTATTATCAATATGTGCTAGATACAAGGAGAAATGTTTGTTTCAAATAGGTGGCCTTGATTAAAAATGGTGTGGTGTGGACACTTGATTTAGGACTATGCACATTTGGGACTTGAAGTGAGAGCTAGCATCTCTTAATTGTTGCTTAAACAGCAATAACAGATTCATAAAGCCACTAATTATTAGCAATGAAGCTGTGCTATTGTTACAACTCTTCTTTTGCCAATGATCTATATAAAGACCCACAACGTGTCATTCATTTTTCAGGCTTATATATGTAGGCAAAACATTTATACAGAAAATTATTCTGAACATGAAAATACTTTTCACTCTCAAGTATTTAATTAATGCATGTTTATAATGTTTTATTATACAAACATTCTAACCTTGATAGATTGTCTGGACTGATGTGAACCTTCAGGTGACCGTCACGCCCTTGATAGTCCTGGTGAAGGTTGAGTTGCTCCTTGAAGCTCGATGGAGGGTCCATCCTCTTTAGCATTGGTGGAGAAGGTCCTCTGAGTTGGTCCCGATTTCGACTGTTGGTACGACTCCCCCCACTGGTGCGACTATTGGCTCGACTTCCTTCCCTGTTGTTGTATGAACCACTATTAGGGCGAGAGCGACGGCCCCCATCAGGGGGCGTGTTGACATGACGACTGTACAAAATAGCCCCTGCACCATAGGCTCGTGAGTTATATGTGGAGTTTAGAGGCTGCAGGTTCAAGTGCACACTTCAAAAGAAGATTAGTGAGATAGGGCAATGTTAGGTTAGGTTAGGACTATAGAGGGTTATCAATCGTTGAACAGTCAACAAACCTATTTAACTGACAAGCTGAATGAAATATGAATTGATGACATCCCTAACTGGCACAAAATTGTCAGTTCACAAAGTTATATGTGCCCGAAATAAACGCAACCTATAGAAGTATCCATATGAGTTGGATGAGATATTTATTTGATTCACCCGTTTAAAAAAAGACTGAAATTTTAATCATCTGTTTGACTTTGAGTTTGAAGAGGTATTTGTCTTATCTGTTTGAACAAGAGTAAAGACAGGAATTTTAATCATCTGTTTGAGTTTTTTTATTTTTTTTATTCATGTCTATTCATGAATTTTAATTTGCTTTACTTATCTGGTTTAGCAAAGATTGGNTTGTCTGACTTATCTCTTTGAGTAAAGACAGGCATTTCAACCATCATTAGAGATAAGAAGATATTTAACTCATCTCTTCAAGTAAAGATGGAAATCTGAATAATTTGTTTGGGTATTAGGAGAAGTATTTGATTCAGCTATAACATGCAGTATATATATAGTGATACATGATTAATACAAGGCAAACAGGAATATGTGAGGAACAAACTATTAAAAAGTTGACACTGAGAGTGATACAGTTATGCAAATCCATTTTTTACCTGTTCTTTTGTTAATATTTTTGTGATATATTTTAGTAGAGTATAACTAAAGTGAAGTTTCACTCCAAATAAGTGCAACACTCAACATATATTTTTTATAATTATTGTATTTTCAAAACAGGATTTTGTTGTATATAAAAATCACAATATATATACAATAATTGTGAAACAGTATGGTTAAAACAAGATTTTCTGTTGTTAAACAGTGCAGTACACTCACAGAGGCAAGGTATTGTACAGCAGTAAGCAACAGTAACATATATACATGCATAGCTCAATAGCTACTACAGAGGTATATGCATCCATATATATGAAAGCGTATATATTGTTTTAGTACTTATTATTTCAGGCCAAGTGTGTATATTTGTAAAAGCCAAAAGGACATATTTTATAATACATGTATACGAAAGATATCCCTATGTACTGAACCTCCTTAGTACAGGAATGTTGGTTCCTTTTGTTAACAAATTTCCACAAAAAAGACACGACTTTTGTACATCTTACACTCAAATGAAAATTTTGAAGAGAAAAGTATAAAATGGCCACTAATGAGACAAATGTGTTAATTTATAAGCACACTCTAGTGTTGCAAAAGTGACCTAATTGCCATTTAGTTGTATTTGTGAAAATTTGAGCAACAATTTAATTTCAGTTTATAGACATTTGACACTGAACAAATATTTCCAGACTCAAATTAAAAAAAGAAAAGAAATGGAACTCTTTGTATTTGATGTAACTCTATGTTCTTGATGTAACTCTTTGTACTTGATGTAACTCTTTGTACTTGATGTAACTCTTTGTACTTGATGTAACTCTTTGTGTTACTCTTTTGGAACCAAATGGCAAATTTACTAATTATTAGTGATTAAAGATTTATTGTCTGGAGTACATTTTTTTCAACATAAAACTCAGATTAACAAGGTTCAAATGTACTCATTCATAACAATATTTGGTGACTGTGAAAAGTAAAACAATTATAACATTCCAAGCAGATCAACTCATAAAAAATGTTGGTTTATTTGTCAGCTTTACAAGTCGAAATGTCATAATTTGAAACCTATCTAATCTAACACAATGTGGGACACACCATACAGGCTCTAATTAAACAAAGTCAAAGTATAAAGGTCTTATTTGGTACAGTGTAATAGTTCTCTAAAGAATTAGGATCACAACATTATTTTGGATTAGGCAAGATGTCAGAATAATCAGGTGTCAGATTGGACAGGTAACACTCTATCTTCATTTTATTGCAAAATACATCGATAATGAATAAAAGATGCCTTCAATCATAACACTGTGTATTTAAACAAGCTGTAATAGACTTACGTTCCAGGGACTCTGACCTACCTTTGGTCTGAAGTATTGATCAGTGGATCAATTTCAAGAGCCTTTACACCCACCGGTACTGGCATCTCAAGTTCTCTTAGATTTGGCTGCAGGGATAAAAATGTGAATAAATTAAAAAATTGTGAAATTTTTCTTTTTGATGTTAGCTATACAATCTATCCAAATTACTTTGGTATTCAAATTTTGAGAGTGAAAAAAATGCCAACCAATCATTCAATAATCTTAGCTCAATTTACTCAGCTATCTGAGAATTGGGAAGTCAAATTAAGTAGGAACAACCATAAGTACACTTTATGTCTTGTTTATAACATTGATGAAAAGGAACTCTTCAGAGCTTGTATTATTCGCTTTTATCCAAAACAAACTTTAATATGATTTATCATATCTAAATTAGCTCTGTGTGAAAATCATTTCTCTTATCTAACTAGCTACATTCAGCACTTGGTACAGTTTGATACTGGATAGGAAATGGAAATAGACCATTATACTGCTTAACAATCTCTTTACGATGAATTAAATATTTCAATAAATAAAATAAGTTATATTCTCATAAATTTGTTCAGGAAGTGGCATGCATAATTAGTATTTTTATCATTTCAACATGAACAAATCACGATTCCCAAAGTAAAAGGTATCCTCTAACCAATTTCACAGCAGATTGGAGATTATCATCTTGTCGATGTGTTGCAGCTGATAAGAGAGATGTGAACCAGTGTATACCATTATGTCACCATCAAATGGATGATACATGAGCACAAGTTCTCACCAAAATAACTGTATGTAACAGCAAGGTTTAGTTTTCAATGCCTCTGCCAGGAATCAAACCCAAGACATCTAGCTTACTTATCTGACATCATCATAACACAGCTACGATTATAAGACAATGTCCAAAGATGAAGGGGCCATTATAAAGTGCAACAGCACAGAAATGCCATGATTCTTGATGTTTTAAGTTAAACACTAGACTCAGAGGTGCTCAGGTAGACAGGTAGGAGAAAGAAATGATAGAAGTCCAAAGTGATGTCAGAACAGGGACAGCAGATCAGTTTGGTCTGTTATATGTCCCACAGAAAGCACAGAATACACTCGGGTGGATAAAGCAGTTGATCTGTGGGTCTGTCAAAATGAACTATTTTATTTGAGAAACTGTGAAAAATACTTGTTTAAATAGAAAGCTTTTTAAAGATAAAGGATTGTGTGGATGGAGGCGCTCTCACCTCATCTGTATCCCCTACTGCTACATCCCTGTTAAATTTGGCATGGGTCATCCTTATCTTAATATCAGTACTAATTGTCACACACAATATGCTTAATCTCTGTGCTGATATTCATCATTCATATATTAACTCTAAATGTCTTTCTATTAAGTTATTGACACACATGTAAAGACTCCATGTCAGGTCAACCAAATTATGTCCGAGTTATTTAGACATGCTACCACACTTAAAACTTGTTATGATTAGATTAACACATACAACACTGGTAGTTGTAATTTTCTCTAGATGTGCCGGTCACAATACCTACCGGTACTCTATACACCATGCTCATCATACAGGTAAGTATTAATATTAAACATACACTAGTACTAGACTACCAAAGTCCATCATAATAACCCTTGACCATATGTGGTCACTTACGTGGTCCAAAGTGTAAAAGTGACCAGTGCCTTGGCGGTTTAGGTTGGCTGTAGCTTGTCCCAGGTTGTAGTTATCCAAATGGTCATCGTAACCATATAGATAATCCTATTTCATGATATTTTTTTATATTTACTACAAGTTCAACAGACACTTCTGTATTTTATTACTGACATTTGTTCAATGGAACATGTGTGGAAAATGTACAACAGGAATATGTGGAGAAACTTTTAATACATAAATTTCCTGATAAATATTGAATCTCAGAGAAATCTCTGTAACTTGAAAACACTACATGAATTAATTACAACATAAAAATTGAATACAAAAGCTCCACATTAGATATTATAAATTATGTGTTTAATCTGAAATATCACACCTCTCTGACTCTCTAGTGTCACCCCACCACATCGTCTACATTCACATCTCCCCAATGAATTTCAAGTGAACAAAATTCATAACAACCTTGAATAATACAGTTCCAATCAAAAAGCTGTACAACTAGGCACAGATTATGTGCTGGAAATATAATTCAGGCAGTGGGAATGTTGTGATCTCAGACTCTGTGCCCACCTATAATCACTTATATATAATACTTGATATCTAAATACTGACCTCCTCCAATCGATTAGGTGGGGCACTCCTACTGGACAGTTGACCAGAGTTTGGTCGACTGTGGTGTCGTTGAAAGCGCCCATAATGACTTGAACTTCGACCCTGTTGCACTATTATTTCTCCGTCACCAACTGTAAACAATAAAAAGTACAAAGTTAAAACTGTTCAAAGAATTATCCAACACACTGATTCTATTCTTTTTAATAAAATAATAACCAAACCAAATTTTGTTGCAGTTTTGAGAAATCTTTTTTGAACAAAATTGTTTGGGACACTAAATTCTTGTCAGCAGAGTTATAAGAAATACTATGACAAAAATAAAAACAAACAATTATATCTAAATTGAGACAATGCAAGCAATCTACAAAATCAAAAAGCATTTTTCTATGTATTATGAGAAGTTCTTTTTACACAACCAATAAAAGTTTTTATGTAACGTTTCGATGACTAGTACGATATGTACACTGTCACCTTCATCAGACAAATGACCAATGAAGCGTATGCACACAAAGGTGTAAAATATGTACGAGTTGTCCATAAAATCGATGTCGATTTCGGCTACGCTGGAAACATATGTACAATAGTTGTGATATATGTACCGAAATGACTCAATTCAGCTACTCTTCGTTAACACTTGGTCATAGATGTGCGCGAGTCTTTGAGCCCCCTCGTCTCGATTTAGAACTGGCCCACTGCGGCGTATCCAGATGGCTTCCTTTATCTGCCGCTTGAACAGATTGCTCTCTCTGTCTTAAACTTTGGAGTTTTCCCAGTCAATCACATGGTTTTTCTGTGTGGCATGGTCTGTAATTGCCGACTGTTTTCTTTCAGATCTGGTGAATTTCTTACCTTCTTGGGTTTCTGTGTCTTTACGGTGTTCACCAAGGCGGACCCTAAATCGCTTTCCAGTCTCTCCAATATACGTGTCGCAGTTTTTGTATCCGATTTTGTATAAGCATTCTGTGATGTTTTCTTTAGGTGTTTTATCCTTAGGGTGTACTAGGATATTGCGAAGCGTCTTGTGGGGCGTCATGGCTGTTGCTATGCCATGACAGCGATATATCTTCTGGTTGGTTTTGGATATACCCTTTATATACGAGATGACCACTTGACCTTTGGTTTTGTTCTTATCCTTGATTGGCCTTTTCTTGTTCTTCTCCTTACTTTGACACTGTTTTTTTACCCGTTTTAGGGCCCATTCCGGATAGGCACATGTTCGCATTGCCCTATCGATGTGATTCTGCTCTTGTGTTTTGTCCTGTTGTTCTGTGACTATTGTATCACATCTGTTGAGCAATGTGCATATGACACCTTACTTCTGGTGTAAAGGATGGTGAGATTTGAAGTTCAGGTATTGGTCCGTATGGGTCTTTTTTCTATAGACCAATACCTTAACGGTTCCCTCTTCTTTCTTTACCAGTGGAGTGTCTAGGAAGGGCATTGTGCCATTGGTTTCTTGCTCACATGTAAATTTGATGTCGTTAGTGGCATCTATGGTGTTGATATGGTTGGTCAAATCCATCTGTGACCCCTTCTGATTATCTCAAGTACATCGTCAATATATCGTTTCCATAAGCTAGGCTTGCATTCTATGGGGGCAGTGGCTATTGCGTCTTGCTTCAGATGTTCCATGAACAAATTGGCAACAATGGGAGACACTGTACTACCCATAGCAGTGCCGAAGCGTTGTTGATAGATGTTGTTCCGGAACCTAAAATATGTTGTTGTGAGCCCAAACTCCAGCAAATCCATGATGTCCTGAATCTGAAGGTTTGTGTTTTTGCGACAGAATCTGTCTAATTCAAAGCGTTTCTGAATGATTCTAAGTGCGTCATCAATGGTTGTGTTAGTAAAGAGAGAGACAACATCATGTGAAATGAATTCTTCGTCTTCCTGAATCATGATGGTAGACATAGCTTCCGCTAGATGTCTATGACCAAGTGTTAACAAAGCGTAGCTGAATTGAGTCATTTCGGTACATATATAACAACTATTGTATATACGTTTCCAGCGTAGCCGAAATCGACATCAATTTTATGGACAATTTGTACACATTTTACACCTTTGTGTGCATACGCTTCATTGGTCATTTGTCTGATGAAGGTGACAGTGTACATATCGTACTAGTCATCGAAACGTCACATAGAAACTTTTATTGGTTGTGTAAAAAGAACTTCTCATAATCCATACTTACCAACCTGAAGAAAATGTTTAGATTTTTTTTTCTATGTAGTTATAAATATGTTTGTTTTCTATTTAATATTCAGTGAAAATAGTTTCAATAATTTTCAATTTAGATTTTAGAGTCAGATTTATCTCCATTAGAATGCTTTAATTACCATTCAGTGATGGAGAAACAGGCATACAGTGAAATCAGTCTAATGTACAAGTCAGTGATCGATAGAGAAACAGGCATACAGTGAAATCAGTCCACTATGTTACCCTCATTACTTACAGTTAGAATCTGGATGTATAGGAGGCCTGCCTCCTAGTCTCCGCCTGCCATTACCAGTGTTCGGGCGGTTGTTAAGGAAACCCTCAAACACCACAAAGTTGTTCACCTGGGGAATCTCGCCCTTCAGGTTATAGTGCTTGTTTAGAAACTGACTGAACTTGAATGACGGTTTGTCAATCGCTAGATGCTGCGGTTTGACATTCATATCCTATATAAAACACATGTATTAAATATATATTCATCTTAAAAATCATTTTGACAAAGAATATGACTTTGGATTACTTAATCAGTAGGAATACCAGTGATAGCACTAACCTTTTCAAAAGTTATTTTATTTGTTTACACATAAGAATATGTAAAGAATCTGCAAAATAATAAGTCTCTTGCAATCAAGTTTGCTTATTTTGAAACAAAGATAGGGTTTAAACATTAACACTGACTATTTTTGTGTTAGATCAACTTTGTCATTTTATTTATAACGTCTTTTATGGCATCAATGCTTAATATTCAAATTGTACAATAATTATATATTCAGATGCAATATCAAAATAGATTCAGAACCATGTTATAAATATTTATATAAAAAAATCAAAAAAAAATCCCATTTTCACATTTAGATAAGAACTTACTCTGAGCATAAAATCAAACAGCTTGCGCCCACATCCCATCCTCTGTCTAGATTCATGGACGTAGAAATCAAGCACACATATAGGTTCTAACTCATGGACACCTCCATTTCTGTCATACACAAATAGCTTTTTGTGTCCAATCTTTAGAATGCCCACTACAGCTCCTGAACCACTACAACAGTCAAGGACAATATCAATGATTAAAATGATTTTTTTTTTGTGTGGTCATAATTGAGAAGAAATAAGGTCTGTAGGTAAAGGGTTGTTTTATTTTTATTAGTCTATACATACCAGGATACATAAAATAGATATTTTGACTTTACTAAATAGTGCATGGGTTAAGTATGTAAAACTTTTAGTCACCTAAATTTGGGTATACCAAAACACATCAACCTTAGTAATTCGGCAATCATTCACTAGTTCTATTTTTGTATAGTTATAATTTGTGAGATTATTTTTAGATTGAGTGTTCAGTTATCAGTAATTAGTACTAAATTATGATATGTACCTGTACATTATGATATAAATTGATGTGACAAAAATGTAATTCTAAGAGGGTGAGGAATTCATTTTAATATCTTCATTATGAGATGTCACACTTTACTACAGTAGCCACTGACTTGTTGTTACTGTTCGAATCCTTCATTATGTACAGGATGTGATCTGACAACTGGAGTTTCCTTCCTCCTGTAATTGTCCCATGGAGTCCCTGGGCCTAAAATAAACAGAAAAATACGGTGATAACAGAACCACATTAAACTTTATAATACATGATTTTTTAAAAAGATATCACTCTTTGATACTGAGTATTGAATGGTAGATTAAAAGATTGATATTTAATTCTCTTTACAAAATCATTCATTTTGAAGCAGAATTTGACTTGGTCCATTATCGATGATGAGGTAGCTCAATTGGTAGAGCGTCCGTCTAGAATTTGGTGTGTCTCGGGGGTTTTTTAACCCCGGTCTGGCTGTAAATTTTTCATCTCCTGTTATAGTGGTGCCTGTGATTAACCCTTGTTCCAAGCATTTGGTGTAAGCTTGACAAGGGGATATCTGAAGCTGGGTTATAAATAGTAATGTCTTTGGGTGTGAAGACTTAAAAAAAAGGAGGGAGGAATGTAGCAGAATCAGACTTGGTCAATAATTGGCAACCAGGTAGCTCTATTGGTAGAGCATCCGTCTAGAGTTTGGAGGGTCCCAGGTTCAAACCCAGTCTGGCCGTGCATTTTTCTATTCCTGTTACAATTTAAATGTGTTGATGAACATGTTTGTATTACTCTTATGTATATTTACCCGTGAAGAAGCATCTCCCATCTTGTCAATGACTGTGCAGAGCTGGGACCGTAGGTCCACAAAGGTGAAACTTGGGGGAAAAAAAGTTATCATAATCATTATGATTTTCTTTAGAGACAATTAAAGACAGATATCTTTATATTTTTCTTTTCTTTTATAATAACTATAACATCTAAAGAAGACATTAATATACAAGTGCATATAGCTGTAACCGATTCTTAGTAACATTACAGAAGGACACCTTGTTTAACTGAAATAGTAGATGATTGATAAAGAGTAAACACAGCTAATTCAGAAATATTTCTATTGATCCTGACTTTTTATTGTTTTCAAAGATAGTATAGATCTATGTAGTGCCAATGCTAATGAGCTATACTGTTATGGCCTATCTATTATGCAGTATTGATAGATCTTGAATCAATGTTTTTACAAATTACAGACCCAATTATACAAACGATGTCAGAGAATTCCACGTTTTCATATAGCAGTGCACTCTGGTCCCACACCAGACAACTAGCCCTATATGTCAAAATGTCTAAGGTTAGGGCCAGAGGAAACTCGGGTTATAGTATTGTGTAATATTCAACACTTAATTTGTTCTGGGTAAAATTATGCATGATTCACAGTGAGAGCAGTTCAAGCAGGAATGTAGCTTATATATTGTGGCTACCTGACAACTTTAGAGAATATGACAGTGGCAGTGTATATATTTAGCAAGGGGACTAACCCTTGTCGTAGCCTAGATCTTGATAAATATTTGGTACGATTGAGTCAACAGACAAACAGATATATTTTTTCTCATATTAATCATTATGCAGTAAAATTTATTCATGTTTTCTCAGTTATTAGTTTAATGAAATAATTATCACATTCATGAAATAAAAATGCTAAATGTGTTCTATAGCATGACAACCAAATATAATCGTTCAAAATACACCCTTACCCGTCTGCATTTTTCCTAAACGGAACAACTTTTTTATCTAACTTGGAAATTTCACTTCCAAGCAGATTGTTGGTATTAAATGGAAACTCCATTCCTGTTTTGCGTGCTTTTATGCGATTGTGAAGTCATAATTAGAATGAAGAGCATCTCAATGTGCTTTTAGGATTCACCATTTTGAGCTCCAAGCAAACATTGCAGGTCCGAGCAAAATATTTTTATTCTGCATATTTTTTAAATAATAAATTTATATCCCACCTATGTGTTTATAAGCAAAAGTTACAGTCTTTTATCTGAAGTAAATGTTCAATTATAAAAAATATAGTTTCTATGAATCGTTAATTTAAGAACTTCGCTGCGGGCCACATTTTATTCCACTTCCTCTTTCGGAAATTGCGCAACGCGGGTAACACAAACTTGTTCCAGCAGACTTATCCTCTCTATGACCTAACACTTTAATGCCGCGACAGAAACCTTTCAGTTCAAAGCAAAAGAAGTTTCAACTACAGGATAAGCGTCAAAGAAAGAAGGAATGTATGTCATGTCATTGTATGAAATGAATCGGGCACCTGTCAATGTCGGGGGGGGGGGGGGGGGTTACTCCTATAATTTTCTATCGGATATGATTTTGTCGTCTGCGACACATCTCGCCGTGTAAAACCTTTTCACCCTTAAACATTGTTGGAGCAGTGTGGGAGTTGCTGTGTTTTGTTCTGTACTTATACTGTACTACTTGGGTAAGCCAAGGGTTCTGGTTCTTAATCAGCACTGTCCTTTTGCATATCACGCTGATTGCGTCCTGTAGTGCAGTTGGTAGCTATACATCATTATATTGTTATTTCACATGACTAGAAGATACAGGTTCCTTGTTACATTTCGCCTCATCCTTCTAGGTACTAGCCTCGTCTGCCAATACACCCATGATGCAATCCTTGATTATGTTACGTGTGTATTGGCAGACGAGGCTAGTACCTAGAAGGATGAGGCACAATGTAACGAGGAACCTGTATCGTCTAGTCACCAGTTTCCGCGCGTTATGTATTTCCGCGCAGCCATTTGATCAAGTTATAACTCCTAACTACGTGACCTGCTGGACACAACACAAGGATATTTTAGACGTTTGGCCATCGTCTGTAAACTGACACAAAAATTACCGGAAAACAAGAATTAATCACTGATTAAAAAAACACGCATAAATATGTAGTTTTGCTTAATGCACTTTTTATCTTGCTCAAAATGAGCCCATACCTGAAAAAACGGTAATATATACTTAATTCATGAACCGGTCTTTTTTGTAGTCTGACAAACATACGAAAATGTTGTATTCAAATGGGTCCACATCTCCTCGCCGATTTTTTTCCGCTTCCGAAGAGCCAAGAAGACATTCTTATATCGATAAACAGTGTTTTCAATGAAACGTTAACCTTGTAATGCAATGAACTTCCAATTTTCACTAATTTTAAACAGAACAAAATGAGAAATAACTTACCATCAACCAAAACCGATATAAAACTGCAGAAAATAAATAATAACAGATTATATATTATAACTAAATAAATTTAATATATAAATTTAAAAAATTACATGAATTCGTTCAATTTGACATCTTGAAAAATCTATTAAAAATGTGAAATTTAAAAAAAGTTGTTTTGATAATTAATTTGACAATTAAAGATTTTTTTTTTATTTCAAACGAAGCTTTTGTTCTTGCAGGTCACTGTAGAGAATTTCTTTTTAGTGTATTCAAGTTATCTTTCTTTGAGCACCAAATCAAAATAGACACAGGCAAACATATGACGGCTACTTCTGACGGCAGAAATTTGTTAAAAATTGTTTGTTCTGATTTTTTTAAAATACAGTTTTATGTTGCTAGTTTTTTGTTTCCATTAGTAGATTGTATACATGTTTATGACAGTCATCCATAATTTCAAGTATTCTGCCCATGTGAGTACGAATTAAATCGCAGTTGCTTCTTAAGTGCGCGGAAACCGGTAACCCGAGAATACAGCAGTAGGGTCGTGGACGTGTGGAACTCTCTACCAAATATAGTTGTAGAGGCCCCCTCCCTAAATATTTTTAAATCTCGGTTAAACAATCACTGGCGTCATCATCACCAAAAATTTGTACCAACCTGTTACTCACAGCTGAACGTGATTAGAGAACAGTATAAAGATGTGTTTCAAGAAGCTGGATCAGCTTACGTCAACGTCGACACTACATGAAAAACTACATGTAAACTGTGGTTATTTATCAAAAACAAGTCCTAGATCAGTGGTATATACCCAGAAACCTCAAATCAAGTATACAGGTGTAGTAGAAATAATATTGTTTTGTAATATTCACATTATAATATAAAATATGCAGTTTTGAAAAATATCCCGCAGTTGAAAGGTCACGATCCTATTTCCATGCATGTGTCACAGAACTGGACTGGGTTGATCATCTAGAGCTCAGGGTCCCAGGTTTTAATCCCAGTCTTGCGGTGCATTTCCATTCTATTCGATAGTTTCTCCTATTACACAATACACATGTACTCATATGGAGGTGAGAGTATCAAAATACTCTGCCAGTTGCCAAGTTCTAGTCTGAAATAGCAGACTATCTCCTTTTAAAATATTTTTGATGGGGCAGAGATAGACTATCTTTGCCCCATCAAAACATTTTTAAAATGAGATTTTCAGTTATTTTAGACTTGGCAAGCTCATGCTCTTCATTGCCTTCAGCAAGAAAGTCAAGGAATCCAAGATGTTTTGATACCTGATAGTTTGAGTACCTAAGAATTAAGGTTGTTTCAGTACTTTTTTGTAAAGACGAAGAAAGGCTGAAGAATCTTAAAATATAAATAAGCAACACACGGGTAGAAAAGCAAACAAATTAAATTACTATTGTAATGTTATTTAATTATCTAGCCAGTCACGATGGAAGTGATCCAGAAGAGGCCATCCACAAACGTCGGGATCGATCACAGCCACAGCAAAATTTGAGGAGAGGCAAATTAGGAGCTGTACCTGACAGACGAACAAACCCTCACAGGTAGTACATGTGTGTGTATATGCAAGTAGACAACTCAGGTTTACACATATACCACAACAGTAGATGGCCCCAAACTTTGTTTTTAACAATATCAATTAAACAGAAATAATGGAAATAAAGTTGAGCAGTTATTGGAGTTAGAGTTTTGTGAAAAATCTTAACGATTGAATGTAAATTTTATCCCCTATCCAGGAAAAAGTGCGAACAACATAACAAATCTCTTCCAAACGTCAGAATTTATATGAGCAACATTGACATGTTTCGACACTGAGGCGAGTTGTCATCATGATTATGATGATGACTCGCCTTTGAGTCGAAACATGTCAATGTTGCTCCAATACATTCTGAAGTTTGGAAGAGATTTGTTATGTTGTTCACATTTTTTCCTGGATTTTTACTTACACCAGTGTGAACTTATTATGCGTGGGTTCTACGGTATATAATCGACGATGAAATAGAAGATACATCACTTATCGTTGAAGTATGATAGATCTATTCAAGTAACAAGTGTAAGAGAGGTATTCAGCTCACTTTTATTTCAGTTAACTGTGGTCATTGCATATAACATTACTTCATATTTGTTTTCCTACTTTTCCTAAAAATGATAGAAATCCTGTTTGCTTAACTTGTGCACAGACTTTCCTAATATAGTTTTGTATTAATGTTACAAAGATTGGTTCATGTACATTAAGCACTTTGTACATTAAATCTTAGTTTGAATAATGAGCTAATGATGAAAGAATGGATCAATAAGTATAACCTGTATATAAATTGTTTAATACATCATATTGTACGTTGATATTTATCAAGCCAAATACAATTAAAATTCAAAGCAATCTTTTAACTTTTTATTTACAGATACTGTCTGCAGTTCTTTAAAGAGAGTAATGAAGAGATTGATAGACGGAAGACATTGGCTAGACGGCCTTTACGTGAAATACCAGAGGTAAATATATACTGGATATAGAACAAGTGTGAAATGCTTCTGACACAAGATGCTGAATCTGGAGTGATCAAATGAGCAACAGCCTATGTTTTTGTTGGATGTTTTGTGAATCCCTGTGACCAAATACTTAGAGTGAATTTCTAAGAGCACATTGTTAATGATATATATATATATAATATAGAGAACATTTCAGAATTACTTAAACCTCCTGTCTTATAACTTTAAATCAATAAAACTAAGTGTGTAGTAAAGGGCTGTGTACCAATTACTGATATATGTTGGATACTGGTATAGCTATAGGGATCAGCACGATGACAATATCAAAACTAACTGTATTGATCAATATGTATAGAACAATCTCAGTTTGTTTTCAGTTCCACAGAATACACAAATGTTGGCAAAAAATAGTTTGGTGTTCCTGTATAATGCCTATGGAAATTTAAGATATTTTTCTTGCTTGTGTACTGGTAAACATGCCCTTCCTCAATAGTAAAATATAGCCTAATGAAAGAGAAAATTCATTTGGAGCAAAGGAGGTATTACTACTGTCCTATTAACTAAGTCAGTTTTCCTTTTTATGAAAAGGAGACGTGGTAGTTTTTAAAACTTGATATGCATTTTAGATTTGTTTATGACTATATCCCTCGTAATATATGGTTCATATCATTGCTTTTAGTAGGCAGCATTACGATACTTTCACCATTTACTATAATTCAGTTTTAATGATTTTAGTAAATCTAAATAATGTATTTTATATGTATTTGATGTGCTAGTAATTGACAATCATCGAGGTCCCGATGATGGGGGAGGGGCGACTTGTCGGTAGGGATTGGCCCAACCACTCTCGCTCTTCTCCCACCATCGGATCCTAAGCATACATTCAATTTTTATGTTATGTACAGTATAATATATGGTTCTTTTTATTGAGAATCATTAATGGATTCTATGTTTTAATATATATAAATTTTATGTAGTGTCTCGTAAGTCAGTATGGCAGGGCATATTTTGCATATTTTGCATATGTGTATTTTTATTATGTAAGTGATGTGTTATGTAAAAATATGTGTGACACTTAAATAAAATATTTTATTATTATTATTATCCTATTATCTAGCTGCCATTTCTGATGAAGTAGGTGGTGTTTCCTCCATTGCCCATGAGTATTTTTGGCCGGTACCCTTAAAATAATTTCATTCATTATATCTAATAGTAATCATTTTGTTTCAAAACATATATAGTAACAATTATTTTTATTGATATATATACAGCCCTTGGGTAGCAAGCCTTGAAACATTACAGTTTGTTGTTGGTTTAATCTATTAGTAGAGGCTAAACATAACAGGGGCTTTACCTGGGAAATGAAGTATGAAAAAAGGTATTCATTTAATTGACCGTATTTTTTACATGATCTAGCTTACTTGTTAACCAATGCTAGTGATACTTAACAACTCCCAAATACTGTCTAAACAACAGAGTTAATATGATGAAGTCGTCGTACCAAACATCACACGATTCAGTATGCTGTATTTAAGTTTTGTCTTTGTCATCACTCACTTCACAATCAAACAACATGGTGTACTTGGTGGCCATCCTCAAACTTCACATCCAGATATGTAAGAGGTTTTAAATGAGTTCTTATTTTCCTTATCTAATGTAAAATCTGATTCCTCTGTTTATTACTAAGGGGCTAATATTTGTCACTGGATCATTTTAGTCTGGGATTGGTAATACACCTTTTGAAATTATAATACATTGGGTAAATAGCTTTGGGTAAAGATGGTTATACATGAGGGATACACATTTCATATGGGGCAGCAAACTTCTTTTACAATAACACAGCCAAGCTTTGTTTAACTGGTAATTTTATGTAAAATGTTGGCAAAATAATACATCACAGACATGGAAGCATAACAACTTCTGGTTGTATTTAAAGAAAACTTAAAAAGCATTTCCTCTTTATAAAACTAAATGAATTTCCTGACTCATGTGTTGTAGGATGCGTTGGAAGTGGACATAGATCAGGTATACCAGCCAGGGTCTGTCCTTGACCTCCCCAAACGACCTCCATGGAACTACTCTCTGTCCAGAGCCGAGTTGGAGGCCAGGGAACAGAAGTACTTTCAGGTAAATTCAAAGTCAGACTTGTAATTAACATTGGTTACACTAAAATCTATTATAATGTTATTGTGAAAAAATAGATTTCTTTCTTATAGCTGTAAGCAATACAGGCAATATTACAACTTTATAATGCAGACAATCCATTTAACATTTATTGTATTATTTTATTATAGAATTTTGAAATACACTTTTTGTGAACATAGGATTACCATAGCTTAGGATGTCACTAGTCTTTCCTGAATTTAATGAAAGTTAATTTAAGTGAATTTCGTTAGTTTGTAATAATTTTATTTTTGATAGAATGATAAGTTCACAATCAATATTTGTTTATAGAAACTTAAGGACTATTTTTTCTGTTCTGGGGGTTTAAATTCAAAATTAGATAATATGATCTATGTGATAAATTTATTTATTATATGCTTAAAAAATTGTCGCAATCACATTGGCCAGATCCTATATACACATGACCAGTCCTCAAAAACTCATGCAGACTGGTTATCATGTAAATATCGATTTCTAAAAAGGGCCTTTATGGAAATGTCCCGCAACCTGTCGTAGGGCATGCACAGTTATACCTGAACTCAATCAGACGATAACAGAAGATGGCTGCTGGCGAAAGTTTTCCTCCGTTAAATCTGAAAATTTCCAAAAACTACTTGAAGATAAAGGTTCATATCACATCATATTCACCGGCACAAAAGTCCATAATTGTATAATATTGATAAGTTTCATTACTCCTAACATGCATTGTAGAGAATAAATGATTGGGTGGCGCAGTGGATAGCGCACTTGCCTTCAACCAAGGCGGCTGGGGTTCGATCCCCCGATCGGACATGAAATGGGGTGGGGTCGCCTGCCAGACTACATGGCTTATTTCAGGGTACTCCGGTTTCCTCCTACATGAAGACCCCTTGAACGCTAACATCCGGACCAACAAGAGTGATTAATATATATAAGTTGAAATAACTTGTTTCATAATTGTTATAAAATATATAAAGTTTGAATGTTTATATATGTAGAGAACAGATAATGTGCAGCACTGTATTACACATTCCAGGAATACACTGAGGCGATTACTGAAAAGTTCCCCCCAGAACAGCTCAGTTACTTCGAGATGAACTTAGAAACTTGGCGGCAGTTATGGCGAGTGTTGGAGATGTCGGACATCCTACTTCTAATTCTGGACATCAGATATCCGGTATGTAGTGTCAAAGCTCTCAACTGAAGCAGATTCTAGACAACTAGCTAGAGACCCTAGTTAGGTAGATTACTGGACAAACTACTGACCTTAGTCAATTGGATTACTGAACTACAAATATAGTGAACTACTGACCCTAGTCATTGGGATTACCGTCATCATATGATGTTAGCTGTTGCAAAGACATTGAACCCCAAACAAACATTTGGATTAAGGGAGTTCTGGGCGCATATTCATGAAACCGTTCTCATGCTCAAACATGGAATCTGTGCTCAAACCAACTTTCTGGTAACTCGCTTAGATCATGTCAAACGGTCAAAAAGTCAAATGTAAACATCGAAAACAGTATTTGGCTATAAGTCTCTTCAATATGTTTCCAAATCATTGACAAAATAAGTCTTATTTATCGAGTTATAACCAGAACAAGAAATTAGGCTTGAGCACAAAATCCATGCTTGAGCATGAGAACGACTTCATGAATACGGGCCCTGGTTCTGGTCTGTAATCAGCAAAATCTTTTTAGATAAAACACTAATTGGAGTAACTTTGTGCCATACATATTGTAATTAGTGAACCAAGAAAATATACAACACAAAGTCATATGAATAACGATGATGAAAAATTGATTTGAAGCCTTCTTATACTAAATTAAAAGATTTCTGTAAAAGACTTTGAAAACACATATGAAGAAATATGCTATGCTCAGCTAGATTTTATAAAACTCAATGGTGTGTTAATAATATTTTTTGCTTTGGCAGATAAAATATTCATCAGTAAATTAGAAAAATTCAAATTAAATCATAACAATATTATGAAAGTGCTTTCTTTTCAGGTTTTACACATGTCCCCTGCGTTGTACCATACCGTTACCCATGACCTTGGCAAGTCAATCATTATCATCCTTAACAAGGTTGACCTGGCTCCACCTCCTCTAGTCATTGCATGGAAGAGTTTCCTTCAGCAAAAATATGAAAAAGTCCACATTGTCTTGTTTACCTCATATCCAAACGAGGCTCTGACAGAGGGAGGTGATGAGATAAAAGGTGAGTGTGGATACCCTGGTAAGACCTTGCCCATATTGCCCTGTATTGGAAGAATATGGGCTACAATAAAACTGCATTAAACATCAGACCTCAGAGCTGTTCCAAAAATAAATGTATCTTTTTGTGACCACAAAAGTCTTGTTTTCTACTGGGGGCCAACTAAACGATTGCAAGCAAATTTTGTAAGACCCAAAACACAATTATTGTTAAAAAGGCTCCCTACAACAACAAAGCCAATATTCATATCTAGAATAGTCCTCAGTAAGTCTACTTAGCCACTTGATGAGTATAATACTAAACAACAGACCTGAGTAAGTTCTCTACCTTGCAATTAAATTACTTTAAATGTTCAGTTAAAAGTTTGGTGTTTTTCATTAATGTATTGTAGCTAAGCTGAGACGTAAGCGTGGAGGTGGGGCATGGACCAGAGCCATGGGACAGGGGCAGCTGCTGGAGGTCTGTCAGAATATTGTCGGGGACAAAGGTCAGTCAACTCAATCTTAACTGGTGTCTTGACAATATAATTATTGTAGGGATTGAATTTGTAAGTTACAGTCATTATCACTTATGAAATAGTGTTTTTGGTACTGGGATGGAAGTGTTACTGTAATCAATTGAAAGTTAGGCTGTCTTCATTGTCTGACTTCAATTTTACGAGGTTTTTTAAAGATGTTTTGTTCAGCTTGGAGTGAGAGAACAAGGAACATATACTTTGGATATATATAGATGGATTTATTGATTGAAAACTTGTTTTTCAAATGGTATAAAATGCAGATGCCTATCAACATGATTACAATGTATCACGGATTAAGTTTGTTGACAACTGTATATACTGTCATAAATGTAAAGAAAAGATAATGTACTGTAGCGGTTATATCGCAGGGGTTTTAATTTTGTTTTGACTGATATCCGCAAATTCTAAACACCAGCGAAATTATTGAAAATGTTAACCACTTTTACGGACCTTATCAGAACATGTTGAAAATACTTTCAACCCAACGCTGTTATGTAAGCTTAAACGAAATCAAATCAGATTAGCACGGGACAACTAGGCAGTCCATGTAAAAACAACACTTACATATAAGTGCCCACAACATATTTATGTGTGCACAGTAGGTGATTACTTGATTACAGTTAACTCCTACAAAGGTACATACACATTTGATTTTTTTTATGAGTGAAGTCACTGGCGGATGACGACGCTCGGAATCATTTTTTTTAAACAGTTTACCTGTATTTCGAGGTTTAACCCTTAAATGATGACACTCAAAAGACTTTGCATGACACATGGGATTCGGGTGCACAGCGAAATTTAACCCTTTTGAATATGTACTGAATACGAAACCACGTAATATTGACCTCGTGAATTTAAAGCGCTATACAGTATTCCTTAAATACATTGTACCTATAACGTGATGTTGGTTGTTATATTGTTCTGGTGACATCTCTTTGGTGATTTCTAGTTGATCTCAGCAGCTGGCATGATAAACTGGTCTCAGCTGATGCAATGAAAGAGGAAGAGGACACGGAAGATTCCTCAGTAGTCAGGAGTCAGTATGAGGACACGTCCTACAAACATGAGGAAACAACTCGGTACCAAAATGGAGTCCTTACTATTGGATGTGTTGGTAAGGAAGAAACAGAGTAGATGTAGTTAAAGTTGTAAAGCGGTCATTGACTGTAAAAAGAATATCCTTTAAACTGCAGATAATATTAACCATGAAGTTGTTTTCTAGAAGCCCTGGTCGACATGTTTTAGAAAAAGTGACAGAAGAATGTTTATCATTTCAGGTTACCCCAACGTGGGGAAATCCTCCCTGTTGAATGGTCTTATTGGTAAGAAAGTAAGTATCATCTGTAAATTGTGAAAGTCCAGTTATTTACAGGATTGTCATATTTCTAATCTGTATAGTTACTTATTTTTGCAGGTATGATTGTCTGTAATTTTTGCGGTTTTCGTTTGGTCAATAGTTGATCGAGTTAAAGCCTTAATGAGTTAACCAAAAAAGTGTGATTTAAAAACTGAGTTAACCAGAAAAGTGTGATTTAAAAACTGAGTTAACCAAAAAAGTGTGATTTAAAAACTGAGTTAACCAGAAAAGTGTGATTTAAAAACTGAGTTAACCAGTTAAGTGTGATTTAAAAACTGAGTTAACCAGTAAAGTGTGATTTAAAAACTGAATTAATCAGTAAAGTGTGATTTAAAAACTGAGTTAACCAGTAAAGTGTGATTTTCATGTAAAAACAAAATCCCAGTTAGCTGATGCTATTACTTAATGATATTTAAATTTTAATGATATTTAAATTGAAACCATTTTCCTCATTCTCCTACAGGTAGTCAGTGTATCGAGAACCCCTGGCCATACCAAACATTTTCAAACCATATTTCTGACCCAAACAATAAAGCTGTGTGACTGTCCAGGCCTAGTGTTTCCTTCACTCATCGACAAATCGCTTCAGGTAAGATCGATAGGCAGTGTCAATGGGGGTAAAATTATCCGCATCTCCTAATTTGTCTATTATAGAGTTTGATTTATGTGAGAAAATTCCTTGTCAGAAGACAGATATGATGGAAGAAATGATATGACTTTTTATCCTATTGTAAGAATAATGTAAGTGGGTGGGATTACACACATTATCGTGTCTAGATGCTGCCTTCCTGGTGTGGTTGGCACTGTTAAGTAGACTCAAGTAGATCTATCACCATAGACACAGCCCGTATACGACCTTAGCTGTTTTAAGGAATTTAAACCTTAACAAACAAAACTAAACTTGGCTTCCCAGCCCTGGCAATCCACAATAAAATCTTGTGGCAATAAAATCAATTAAACCTAAAAATAACATTTTCATACTGAACCTATGTTACTGTATTGTTAATTTTATGTAATGTTATGTCTCCATATTTCTATATTAATTGCTTTTTATTAGATATTGGCTGGTATTTACCCCATTGCACAAGTGCGGGAGCCATTCACTCCTGTTGGTTTCCTGGCGGAGAGGATAGACATATTGAATCAACTCCGCCTGAAGCATCCAAATTGTGAAAAAAATGCTGCAAAGTCTCTGAAGTGTTGGAGCGCATATGATATATGTGAAGGTCAGTTAATATAACAGTTTGTGAAGTCATTCCTTCTTCAGAAACTTAGTCATATGTAGCATATATGAGGACATGGTCATGGATATGATGAAATGATACAGAATTATAATACAGATTATATTCAAACTTAACCCAGTGGTCATTATTTTAAACATTCAGATGTATGCTAGCTACTAAAGTTGTGATGCAATATTAAAATACCTATATTTCAAATTTTAGCCTGGGCTGAGAAGCGAGGGTTTATTACAGCCAAGTCAGGCAGACCTGATCTTCATAGGGCAGCTAACAACCTGCTGAGGATGGGACTGGATGGTCGTCTATGTCTGTGTCTTAGACCACCAGGGTACACCGACAACAAAGGTATGTATCACAGACCCCTAGGGTACACTGACAACAGAGGTATGTATTACAGGCCTTCAGAGCAGAGAGACCGGAGAATTGGTTACAGCTATATTTGGACCTAAACAAAGGTGTTCAGAACAATTTTACACGTTTTAGGGGTTTAGATCAACTTTCAGTAAAAATGTCGCCCCCAATGATGATATATACAAGAAGGGTAGAAAGCACATTATGATGGAAAATCGACCCCACCTCACTTTCTTGCATCAAAAACCTAATTTCTAGTTGATGTACAAAAAAATGCTTAGTACTGTTGGAAAGATGGATAATATTTAGGTCACTTGAGCTTTTGACCTAATCCAATCACTTTCCGTCCGTCGTCGTCCTTCGCCCGTTGTGCGTAAACTTTTTACATTTTCAACTTCTTCTCAAGAACCAGTCGATGGTTTTTTTTCAAACTTAGTCAGAATCATCCTTGGTAGATGAGGCTACAAAATTGTAAAATTGGGATTCCTACCCCAACCCCAGGTGCCAGGGTGGAGCCCCAAAGGGAAAATTAACCAATATTTCAAAAATCTTCTTCTCCAGACTCCGAGGTACTTCAGTCAGTTTCTCTGCATGGATGGAAAGATCATCAGGGGCTTTATTTAAATTGTTTATTTCAGGACCCCCGAGCTATCCGTTGTCCCTTGGGGAGGGGGTAAAATTTACTATAGTTTATATAGGGAAACAACACTTTTGTGTATATTTTGACAATTTTCTGTAGGAAATTATTCTTACTTGGTGAGAATTATCCTTGGGGGAAGATGGTTTTAAATTGTAAAATTGGGATTCCTACCCCAGCCCTAGGGGCCAGGGCGGGGCCCCAAAGGGAACATTTACCAATATCTTAAAATTCTTATCCTTTGATGACATGCCAAGTATTGTATTTCACTTAGTTTACATGCTGATTTCCACATCACATCTAAACAATAAAATAAAGCTACCTGTACCTATGATATAACTCAGGTGACCACTAAGGCCCTTGGGCCTCTTGTTCTTTTAGAGACCTCCTTTACTCATATGTAAAATCACTCTGAACACCTTAATAGTTTAGGTCCAACTATAGCTGTAACCAATCCTCAGGTCCCTGTGCTCCAGGGTACACAGAGTCTGAAAACAAAAAGATGTGTCTCTGACCCTGGGGTCATCTATATAACAGCCTGTCTCATTGGAATATATCGATCACATGACAATGAAATATAACATTACGCACCCCTCACATGCTTGAGGTTCCAGTCATATTACCTTTATTCAGAATTTCTCTAGAAAAAAGAGCAAAAGGCACCACTCCTGAATTTTGAGTGACTGAAGTAATCATCAATATTGGCAAAGAAGCCTGATCTTCTTCACTGTTGCGTTATAATTATATTGCAATATAAACAAAATATTTATCACCCTTTCGGTAGGGAAACACAATTACTTGTTTCCCCTCGATTGATCATGTTTCACTTTTAGGCTTTGCCCTCGTGGAACGCGATGAATTGCAGGAGAACAAAGAATCATGTTTCCCTACCGCAAGGACAAAATATTAATAACATAAACCTGTTTAACTTTTTTTTCATTTTGAAATGTTGATGTTGATTCAAATTTGAGATATTGGAAAATTTAACTGGGTAGTCTTGAAGGAATTTCTACACATCTTAGTTTGTCCTTCAATTTCTAAAGCTGGTCTGTTCTGCAGCTGCTAATGGTTGTTTCATTGTGTTTTGGTTTGTCAGGTCACTGGGAACGCCATCAAGAGACACTCAAGCTCATTGGTGATTTGGAGTGTTATAGAGTCAATGGTATGTCTGATGGAGAAGATGAATTCAGTGATGAAGATCTGGCACATCTAGGTCGGGAAAACGATTCAGACGACGAAGAAGAAAGTGAGGGAGAAGATGAGGAAAATGAAGATGGAAGCAAATATGTTTCAAATAATCCTTTTGCACTGTTAGGAGGTGATGACTGATTTGATAAGTTCTTCATACTTTAGGAGTCAATTTCGCCTCTGGCATGGCTGACTTTTTCTGTGGGTAATTGGAACAAGCCCTCTGCGCCAGTGTCTTTTATTTTGTATGCATGCATGACATGTAAGGAATTTAAACTTGTGTTAAAATGTGCCAGCCTAAACTTCTATGACCTTTATAAAATGCTTCAGGGCAGTAAGGACAAGTGATGTATCACAGTTCTCCACATACAATATTTCATGCATTTAATTTTTTAGCTCTTCTGTTCGAAAAACATAGAACTTATGCTATACACTGTTATGTTATGTTATGAATTGTGTTATTCAATGTGTATGCTTGCATGCTGATAGTGTCATTGGGGATCTAATGTTGATGCAGTGGAGCCAGAATGGATTTTCACCTTTTTTGGACATAACTTTTTCACCCCAAATCGCCAGGTAAAGGGTTATTTTCATCCTTCTGTTAGACTGAATAGGTAACTGTTTGGCATCTTCTCTAGCCAAGTGTTCGCTTCGTGTACACTCCACTTACCCTTGGCGGATATAGCCGTGTTTTCATAATTCCCTCCACTGCCACCTAGTGGATATACTGAGTTATCAATCTTCTCCCAAAAAACATTGAACCAATAAGAATGACCGTTACATACATACTCCATCGGCCTGTTGACAAAAGCATGTGTATGTCGAGGCAGAGTATAAATGACAGAGCAATATGGAAACAATCTAAAGGCGGCACACATATTTTCCCAGGTCATCATTTACATGTGGCACGTAGTCCAGGATTTCCACCAACTGATTTAAAACTCCAGAAGCTTCCCCAAAGATCGTGCGCCTATTTATTAAACACTCTGACATAAACGACAACGTGCTCCCGTACAGGGCGTCGCCATTACTGTTTTCCTTTGTCAACAGCGCTATATGTAAGACGCGATTTCATTGGATGCGAGTGATTGGCACCGCACGAAAATTGAAGGCTCGGTAAACACGGCTATATATATCCGCCAAGGGTAAGTGTATACGAAGCGAACACTTGGCTAGCCAAGATGACTGTTTGGTGGCTTAGACATCACCACTGGCTAGCTCATTTAACATGAAGATCCAGTGAGTTTATGTGATCATAATGTATATTGAAATAAATGCCCTCCAACAGTTTTGAAATCACAGCGGCCAGTGTTAAAATCTACAGGTGATATTCTTCTAAAGATCCATAAAGCCTATTATAATGGTAAATGACCAGCATTTTCTTGGTATGAAAGGATATCAATATGTTTTCAAATACTTACCAGTTACCACAAACACTTTCAATGTTACAGGGGTCAAGTATGCTAAAATCTGCAAACAATTTCTGAAAAACATAAGCAAGATTTAGATCAAAGATACTGATATTTGGCTTGTTACTTTGGGAATCAATTTTGTGAAATTAAGTGACCCAGACACACATTCCAAGGTACAATGATCAGATTTGTGAACTATTTTATAGAAATTTTTCAAATATGTGAGTTTGATCCACTTTCAAGGTCATAGAGTTAAAATGAGTTAACAGTAAATGGCTGCTTAAAATCTACTGTAGCTTGCTGGAATAACAGGCCATCAAATTTGTTCAAGTAAATGACCTTGACCTACTGTGAAAGATATTTGATAAGTAAACTATTTCAAAAACTTCCAAATATATCGATAAAGAATAGAGGAATGATATCTGGTCTTTAGTGTGAGTTTTCTTGTTGTCAAGTGTGTGTAAATAAAACTGTCCTTGACCCTCTTTGAAGGTTACAGAGTCCAGATGTGTTTGTCAACACCATTTAATAACATGAAAGTTATACAAGCCCATAGGGCCTCGTTACATTAAATGTTATTCATTGCAAAGAAAATGTGCAAATTATTTAATTTCTCAATGAAGAAAACAATGCATTTAATTGATGATCCAAATGTTAAGTCAAGAGCTATAGCTGTCTTTGTTATTGATTTATAAATGGAAAATGTATTTTCACAATTTTAACACCATTACATACATTTCATAAGTAATATACAAATTGTACTATGTTTTTAAATTGGGTTTTTGTGGTAGTCCTTAATACCTTGTATAATACTTACCATAAGAAGCTTTATCCGTATATCTGTTCACAATGTTACTTCATTTTAAACCGTTACAGTTATTAAAACATGATAGGTGTTCAGATGTCTTTGTGTATTTTTACTTAGTAATCACCTACTCATCTGGTAAGCAAGCTGAGCACCTCATCAACATTGCAACTACATATATTATGTCAATTTTTCATACTATGTTTGTTCTCTCAAATATGGTTGTGCATATCAAGCTTGGTTAGAATTGAACGATTTTCAAGGAAATTATTGCAAGGAAACAAATTAACCAAACAGGATTGGGTAGCATCATTAATTATGCATAACTATGCATTCATTAAGTTGACATGGAACTTAGCTGAGACTGGTTGGACGATGATGCACCCTACATACAATGTAGTATCCTCCGTTTTTCTAAAGAGTGGTGGATTAAGAACTAGTTGGTAAGAATTTGTGGACATCTACATTAATAATAACACCACTGTGGACCAGATTCGAGTATGATTTTATTACAGGAGGTACATGGATGCTATCCCTGCTTTTTCATCTACAGAGTCTGAAAGCTGAGTGTCTACGTCTGTGACATATAGTTTTCATGCATATTAATGACGACTAGGAACTAACACAAAAGCTATATATTTATTTGTTAGCAAAATGTCCTCGATGTCACCAAGCAAGGTTCACAGGAGTCCGGCAAGTTAACACCAATTTTGCAATTATTTGATGCTACATGAACAAGTTTTCAAGTTTACAGTATATTGGTGTATTGGACTACCTGTCGTGGAAATGGTAGGTTTGGTATTATGACACATTTGATCCATAACCAGAATACCTGCTTAGCGGCAGCTGATATAGCAGTTTGAATTTTTAACCTTGTAAATGTGAAATATGCGACCCGATTGTAGTGTGTTTGTGAAGTTACAACATCGTTGTCCCAACAACTACCAAGATGCAGTAGTTTGACATTTGACCTTAACACGTGACCTTGACCTTAGCTTGTACACATGTAGTATTGATTTAACATATTTTATTTGCATCAAAATATACATTGGGATTGGGCACAAGTTTTCTAACTTATATAAAGCCCTTTCCCAATAAAATTTAACAATAAGAGGTTACAAGATTACATGTATATACATCATATTTACAAAATAAACGAGAGAGAGAGAGAGAGAGAGCGAGACTGATTAACTATAAAAAAAATATGCGGACAATCTTTTTCGACACCGACGGCACAAGTTTACACTATACACTTTTCAAAAACTTTCATCTTGAACTTTGTCCATCACATCCCGTGCCTTGATTTGCTTCCTCCTTGTCGTTCCATTCGTTCTTGAATATCCGTTTCTCTTCTGCCGTCAGCATCGCACAAGATTGAATACAACATTTAATACAAAAAAAAACAATCTAATTTTTATTATTACTATTTGTTGATCTATTTAAACAATAACGATATATCAAAATCTATTAAGAGTCTGAAATATTTTGCTGGGTGCTTTGACATATTTTAATGTTGTCTTCTAAAGATAAATTATTACTACAATGTAATCGTAACTGCAGGTCTAGTGGGATGAATTCATTCAATTCACGGTACAATTTTATTCTTTGGTCCGCATAATTATTACAAACAAAGAAGAAGTGGTATGAGGATGACCGCACTGACAGTGACGGTAGACAATTAAATTAGATTGGAATAGATCATCATTTAAAGTACTAGATCTATTTCTCTGTCTGGCTTGCAATATAATGGATTTCCGATTTCCGATCAAGTAATAATTTGGAACTTTTGTCATGGTTCGAAGAGATTTTTTAAAGACTGGGAACCTAACACTATTTCTAATTTCAAGATTTAGTTGGTTCCAGAGTCGGGTCGTAGATGGAAAAAATGATAAGTTGTTTATATTTGTAGTCGGAAATTTGGTTATGGAGTAATTATTTGCGTCACGGAGATGATGATGTGAGTTTTCTCAGACTAAAGGGTGCAGTAAAGAAGTTAGATAACCGGGCGTGAGTTTGTTAATAATTTTGAAGAATAGCTGTAGTTTTCTCCTAAAACGTCGATTTGATAGTGGTTAATCCACTTTCAGAATATAAAGAAATTCTACTACCATAAGAAGGTAATCCAGTGATTATTCGAGCAGACTCCAACTGAAGTTTTTCCAATATATCTGCGTCATCAAGAGAGCACCCGTCCCAAATCTCACAACAATATTCTAATAAGGGAAGAATGTATGATTTATAGATTTTGAATAAAGTCTGTCTATTTAACACATTTAAGTTTACGAAGGATACTTACCTGCTTGGATACTTTTTTTTACCTATATTCATATGTCTACTCCATTTACAATTTGCGTCCAAAATAACTCCTAGGTGCTTATGATTATCTACAAAGTCAACACTCACATTATTGAATTTAATATCTATCACATGATCATGATCAATGTGTGAAATGAGTAAAGCTTCCGCTTTTAGGGGATTAAATTTTACTCACCACTTTTCTGCCCACCTTTGAATTTTAACGAGGTCGCTGTTAATTTTAGTTTTGATAGCCAAAAGGGATGGTTCAGAGCATAATAAAGACGTCGTCAGCAAACAATTCTGAAAGACTTTCGAGGTTATCAGATATATCATTTATGTAGATAATAAAAAGTAAAGGACCTAAATCTGAACCTTGTGGAACGCCTGCACTTGTAGCTTTGACGGAAGATTTACTATTTCCTACAAAGACCTGTTGTTTTCGGTTACTTACATAGTTGTTTAACCAGACAAGTAGTTTCCCACGTATACCATGGCTGCTAATTTCACATGTAGTAGGCCACCCATGTGTGACGTGTACTTTGTGAAGTTACAGCACCACATCCCGACAGAGTATCAAGCTACAGCAGCTGGAAATGTGACCTTGACCTTGTACGTATAATAGGCAATTCAAGGGTGACCAATGTGTAACACAAAAACGAATGTAGTTCCCAGGAAACCGAGACACAATTTATCAACCAATCAGCTAAAAGTCTGTTAATCAGGTGTGATCAGATTTCGACGAAACTCGAACAAGACCTTAGTCTTTGTAATTTTATTTGCTGAACAAGTTTTGTTCAAAACTAATGATACTTATGATCAACTGGCATAACATTTGGCTACAGTCACAAAACCTTGTCTGGAAAAGATATCACCCTTCAATAGTTACGTGGTGGCTTAGGGACAAGGCACAGATCCCAAACCACCTGGTCCGTATATATGTATGTGTATTATTCGGGTAAGGGATCTGTGCCATGCCCCTGTACACAAGAGTTATGTCATACAGCCTGGGAACTATGCGGTTTGATTGTATGCAGTGTGTCGGCGTGTACCTTAATTGTCCATGCAAATATTGATCATGGAGAAAGAGTTGATAGAAGAGAAAGTAACTTGGTCCCAAAGTTACAATAAAAGGGTCAGCAAATGATTACGTACATGGAACAATTTCCTGTCTGAAAATATCTCGCTCTTAAATACAAAGACGATCAGGCGATTTTCCTGTACTTGCTCCCCGGGACAGGAGCCAGACAATATATCACGATTATTCAGGTGTTTAAGAAAATTAATTACATTGACAAAAGACCGATTTTGCGAAAACGAAGTTGGAGCATGAAAGCAGACCCAGCTTATTCAGCCCATTAGGGTAAATAACCGCTGGAAAATTCAAGTTCTTCTTAGAGATGAATCAGTTAATGTTAAAAAAAACATATTCCATTTCACAAAATGCGCTGAAAATGATTCCATGGGAAAAAAACCAATGATCACATTGAAAAGTAATTCCCACTACAGCCATGCATGTTGCTGTGTGATTACGGCAACAAAAGTGGTTTATTTTCCTAAATAATGCTTTTTCCCCACGAAAACCCCATCGTTTTTAATTCGAAAAGAGAAAACAGTTCTAGACTTGGTAGTGAACAATTTCTTGTTTGCTTGTTGAATGTATTTGATTTGGTTAAACTGCGTTTTTTTCATCGCGGCATTGACAATAACAATTTGTATTCTGATAAACAATAAAGCGTGGAGAATATGTACTGTTACATACAACAGTATGGATGAGTATCACTTACACGGCTGAGCATGATGGACATTAATTGTGCAAATTAATTATCTGATTAACATCAAAATTAAATTTCGCCATTGATATGTTATTATGGTCGGACCACTAAATTAGATAAATTATTAAATTCAAATGTATTTGGTCTAGACATCTGCTTTGTAATTGTTCAGTACTGTTGAAAAGAAAATGAAACTAATCACTAATAATTAATTTCACTTAAATGTTACGTAAATTACAAATATAGCTACTCGGTGTTTATTGGGCTCCGTCCACTTTTTGTTGATATTTCAATATTACTTGTTCTAAATCCGCAATATTTCACATAGCTAGCTATGAAGGGAGGTCAGGTAATTAATTTTCTTATCTCAGGTCTTGCTTATAAGATTCTGTAGATGGTTTCTCGGGAGGAATTTTGTTTCTCTTTTTGAAAATAATTTTCCCTTTTAGCTTATATAAATGTACTCGTTAGCAAATGTATCCTTTTCAGTTTTCGGCACCCATAGATAAGTGTAATTTCACACTTTTCGAATAGGCTATACTATTACTTCTCACATGTATAAACCATGTTGTGTCATATAATATGATATTTAACTAGCTTATTGCTTAGTTTATTTAGGCTTTATCGGAGACCTCCCAAGCTAAGTTCGCTGTATATCATCATAAAGTTAGTCTAGGGGTAGTACAGTGGTTTTAATATGTCTTCAAAATTTAAAGTCAGTTTATCGTTACAAAACCTAAAATATGCATATGGTGTATTTAATCAACATAGTGATACATTCGTATTTCTTTGCATGCACGTTTTTATTTTGTCCCTTTTCAAGATGAAACAATTAGACTTCAGGTTTTAAGGAATGTTCATGGGCAATTTGTTTCAGATAGCTAGGCCTATGTATTCTGAACAGGCGTCAGCTTCCATTCCGGATTCCATATCCGTATCCGGTTTTTGTATTGTAAAAATCAAATATGGCAGCCCCCATGGAAGCGTGAGTTTATGTTTACGAATATATTTGTTCTTTGTACAACTATATATATATGACTTGAGTATTATTTTTATTAACGATGGCGACATATCTGTTATTTTAACTCTGGATTATAAGTAGTGTTAATGTAATTTCAACGAAGTGTCGTGGTACCGTGCACATTCTGAAAATGCAGAAGTTGGACGATTGTTGTCCGATTTTAAGGAAATGCTAACATATCCCCTTCACGGATTTATATTTGATAGGAGAAATTCGTAGGATCCAGTCTTAGTACCAGCCACTTTGTTCCAGAGTGATCTCGGAACTAGTTAAAGACAGTTATTTGATATGATTGAGCCCCACCCACCCCACACCCATCCAGCAAGGACGACGCTTTTATCGATTATTTACATGTAGATAGTTTGCTCAAGGGTGAGGTTTATGAAGATGGAAATTATTCCAATCTGATTAAATTATTTTTTACATGACTTTGTTAATTTCATATTACGCCTTAGTCCGAGTTTCCTCTTGCCCTGATACCAGACATCTCTAACAAAAATAAATAGATAGCTATATAGTCTTTACTTAACGTCGTGTACATTGTCAACAACAAATATGAGCTCTGTAGAACTTTTTAATAATGATGCTGATAGGGGAATTAATCATGTTTTCATGGTGGAGGAAAACCCACGAGGGGGAAACCACTGTGCCATCGGAGGGATAACAACTAACCCTATCTGACATCACTCTCTTTATTCCACCACCGCTGGGGATTAAGCCTTAATTCTTTGGGAGAGTGAGAGGTCTGAAGCTCTCGCTTCATTGCACACAACAGTAATGACTGTGTATGTTAGTGATCACGGCTATCGAGGCACTCTCTGTCAATGAGTCTGAGACTGATGTCTGGGCCAGAGGAAACTCGGGCTACATGTTATATTGTGAGAATGATATGTCTTCTGTGGCTGTTGTCTTTTATGTTATAACAGTAACTAACCATTTTCCTGCTGTAAAACACATGCTCATAATGATGATTTTTTTTATATTTGAAGAAATAAACAAAGGAACATCACACTCTAACTAAAATAGAACCATGGATACTGAAGATAAATTACAGAAACAAATTCTGCAAAGACTGGAAAAACTAAGTAAGTCATTCAAATGAGATAAAACAAACAAGATTTTGCAAATAATATTATAAGGTCAAAATATGCAATATGCTATTAAAAAAAAAAAACAACATTTATCTGACTTTCATAAGTTCATATTGTAACATGTTTTTTTCAAAGTAGACACCCTGTGATGTTTTGCATATATGCAAATTGCTTTATTTTGTTTGCCAGTATATCATAGTCACTAAAATTAATAAGGACAATTGATAAATAACTGGTTTGATATCCCAGACACACAGACTCAACATGGTAGCTAGCCACCACACCAGGGTCATATTCCTAACCTGTTTACGATTGGATGACATTAATAAGGACAATTGATATTAAATTCAAGATAACAGTTTTAAAGATTTATGCATTAAAATTGTTGAATTTGTTTTTATATTGTATTTTGTGTACATGTTTCATAATTATGATGAATAGTATAAGTAATAAAAATATATTTAATGTTTACTAAGATTCCATATAAAAATTTGAAAAATTACAAATTACAGATGAACAATGGCTTGACAATGATGATTATGAAAGACGTGTGAAAAAATCTAAACTTGGAAAAAGAAAATCCGAGTCAAGTCAGTGTGACGGAGGCTTTACACAGGAAACACAAAGCAGGAGAAAAAAGAAGAAAAAGAGGAAATGTGAACAGAAGACATGTGCGGAGAATGTGACTGCAGAAGTTATTCAGACAAAGACTGTGAAAGGAGAAAAGAAACACCTTCAGGACTTAAAACTTTCACTAGGTCTGACAGAGTGTGATATTAAAACCAAACTTTGTGATAAGGAAAGTCAGGAGGTTAAAACAAAATCCAATCAACAGGGTCCGGAAGTTATCATATTCAATGATCCAGGTAAAAAGAAACAACAGAAACAGGTAAAAAAAAAATTGTCATTATTATTTTAAAGATTTACATGAATATATAAGTTTAAAGAAAGTGCACCCCTGATACTATTGTACCGTTGACTTAAGACAATTTTAAACCACTTGTAATATTCTGTGAAACTTCTTTTTTTAATTTTAATATTTTTTCCCCAGATAAACACCAAATAACATTGAGTGGTTAATCTTATATTTATTGATATGGAATATTCTTTTTTCTAGACGTTTCATCAGAAACAGCAATGTCCCCGTAAAGAGGTTCAACAGTGATATGCTGAATATATTTAATATTTTTGTTTTGTTTTTTAAAGAAAGTACAGGAATCTAAAGCTGAGAATGAAGCTGAGGATCAACCGGAATTTGACATGAAGAAAGCCAGATTTGAAGTCCAGAAAGTTGGAATTAAAGGGTTCAGTGGCAATGCGAAAGATGATGCTATGACATCATATCTGGTGAAGTTGGGGGCCAAGGTAAATTAATTATATAAATATACTATTCTAAAATGGATTTGTTTTAAGTTGTGAAGACAGCCAATTATGAATTTAAATATCTCACAATGAGTTATTCAGATTTGAACAATGGATTTATGTTACCTGTAAACAACTGATATATGTACATTGTAATCTGTACACAACAGGTATATTTAACCTATAAACAAAACAGATAAAGGTTACCATGCCAGTAAATGTAAAAAATATGTTTACCTGTAAATTAAGCAAATTTACTCCTTATTAAGCAAGAGTAAAAAAAGAGTGTAAGCTTTCTTGGTGTTCTGCTAGAACAGGTTTCACTGTACTGACATATTCCACTGTATCGATTGATGACTTATAATTACATAAAGACAGCTGTTATATTTATATTCTCATATCTTTTTGTCAACAGCTTCCGAAGAACAAGTTCTATAACTACAAAGAATTCCTAGATATAAGGAAGCAAGAGAAAGAATCGGCTAAAGAGAAGAAAGCAGTGGTAAATGCTACATTTCATCAGAAAACCACTTATATACTATAAAGCTGTTTTCTGGCAGGTGCATTTAGTGTGAAAAATTATATTGATTTAGAAAATAGGACATCATTTAATGAAAGGGGAGGAATAACAAGGGTCAAATGTGGGACTTGTGCAAGTCTAGGTATTGAAGTATAAATGTATAATATTAGTACACTATGTTCCCTATACTTATACAAGCCCCACATGTCACAATTCACTGAATTGTCTCCCTTTTTACGGGTTCAAGATTTCTTTCTCACATCTGAATGTGTGATTTTTCTGTCATCCCTGAAGATATGACAGAAAGCAAAATGATGTAATGTCACAATCAGCTTTCAATGGATGAGAAATGTGCAAATGCTGCGACCCTATTGTTTTGGAAGGTCTTATTGAAACTTTTTTAGTAGAAGAATTGTTCCATGGGAATCTCAACCCTCAGGGTGGGATTCTTCAATGTCTGACATCAATTTAAAGTACCCAGGTAAGCATAGGGTTAAGACATAATGAATATCATCCTTCAAGTAGAGATTTCTCAGTCGTAACATAAGGTAAGGGAAGGTAAATATTGGGTTAACAGGAAATATAAACAATATGCAAAACCTGCCACTACATGTTACCTGCACCAGAAAGAAAAAGATGTAAGTCAGGTCTGGTCAAAAGTTGGAATATAATTAGAGTTGACCTGCAACGATATATCGTGCGACGATATTTCCCGATATTTTGAATACGGTACGATACACAATATTTTTGGGAGGTTATGATACACCTTCAATATTTTCAATATTTTGTCGTTTCTGAATTAAGTCAACTCATATCGGTTCCATGGCGAGTGACAGCCCCAGCTCGGCATGCAGGTAGAAAGACGAGAATTGTGTGAAACTTTAAAGTCATGCCCATGTTAAATTTGGACCAAATCTCTTTCAGTTTTATGTGTTATTGCCATTAAAAATTTGCAACATATCTTCTCTTTTTGCTACTACTGTTACTGTATGTATCTTGATATAGATCCGATCGTGACCACAGTATCATGATGCGTATTGTATCATCATGTTAATGTATCATGCAGCCCTAAATTAGAGACCACACTATTACAACTCTTTGTCTTTAGATTGTTACAGTTACCCAAAGTTTTATCAAGATTATAACATTTACGTGCTTTAATGTAACAAAAGTATAAAAGAAACTAGTAAATGGTGTAACTGTAGTTACTGAATGTTGTAAATAATGACAATATCATAAGATGTAACTATGTGTAGATGTTACCTGTCTAAAGTTGAATGAGTTGAACAAATCCCTTTTTTTGTGTAACAGGACCGTGGACTTGGATACAAGGTGAAAAGCTCTAAACAAGAAAAGAAGAAGTGAGTTGTTATTATAAATTGACCATATACTTACCGTATTTGAACTTGTGAATGTCATTAATGTTTAGTAATTAGGGTAAATTGGAATAACTGCAGAACCATCCAAAATTCTCCAAAAATAGCCTAAATGGACACTTTCTTCTAGAGTAAACTGTTATGGTGAAGTGAAGGAAACAAGTGATGAGTCATCATTATTATTGTTCGTTTCATAAATTCAGGTCCTCAGATAGAAGTTATTTTAAACCTGATTACAAAAAAAATATTATTCATAAAAAAAAGAAGATGTACAATATTTTTATTAGAACTCTTTTCAAGTTGCCTAGGTTGACGAAGTTGACGTGATCTAATGTTCAGTTTTATGTAAAAGCTATTGGTTATTACAGAACTAGTTCCCAATTCTTGATGATATTTGTATGTCTGGTTTTGTTGTGTTTCACTAGATATGAAAGCGAGCATGTTTTATGTGGACCTAGCTCCTTAAACAAGTGATTTAGGCATACTTTATGTTTCTAAATCTCCATGTTTCAAAATCTCCAAAGAAAACAAAATGCATGGTTGTTTTTCTGTTTGTCTAGGTCTAAAGACAAAAATGACGTCGGTATAGTGGATGGACAAGTTGGACATTACAAAGATGGCGTACAGTACATCAATAAAAAAGACCTTAAAGGATTCAAAGGAAAAAAGAAGAGATGATATATATGTTTGTTTGTTTCTTTCAAAGACATTTTCAATAAAAGAGACTTATTACAAACCAGGGTCATTGTTTTACTAAGATACAGATGTTTATTAATGTCATTGAACAGCCCAACATGTTTTCATGATAACAAATTAGTAGGATTTTTTTTTTATCTTAATTTTAATTACGGTAAAAGTGGAAATTTTTCACCATGTTGAAATAGTCACGTTTTTCGTGTTGATTAAACGAGCGCAAAAATCTCCACACACAAATATTCTTTGATAGAATATAGACATTAGAAGATCTGACAGATTTATGATTTTATTCTACATTATAGATATACAGGTTTCAGAACCAAGATTTTCCACACCATGACTAGAGAGCCACACTGCAAACATTTACACATACAACAATTTTTCTCAGATCTATGTAAATTATCTCATAGTGACATTATCTTTTGACCTATTGAATATAATAGATTTTTTTTAAAAGTGATTTCTGGCAGCCATCTCCTGATCAAGCTCCACATGAAATATGAAATAATAGGGAATACAAATAACCTACTTCTGAAATTTTAAAATTAATGATCGAAGATGTTTGTCTGGTGGCTTTTCCCCCTGATAAAGCTGAAAATAAATGACACATGTACAATTAAGAACGAATGGGAACCTACATAGAAAATTAAAAAAACAAATGTCCATCCTGTACTTTATGAAAAGTACGTTTAAGGTGGCTGACTGGATTCCATCCTGTTCTTGCATTCAGTTAAAAATTAAACATGCACAGCTATGAACTAGGAGACACTACATATGCTTCTTGCATTTGAGGAAGATCCATACAGCAATTTCTGTGAAATAGCAATTACAAAATCCGTAAGTTAAATGGATGGTCAGCAAGATGGTCACCATAAAATAATCTTGTTCCAACAATCGATTCCATAATTGAACTAGTATAGCTACAGACCAAGGGGAACCAGCTTGTCAAATTTGGGAATGATCCCTGCAGTAGTTTCTGAGAAATAATGATAGCAAATTTGAGCATGCGCAACTAAAGACAGATTGGTAACTTTAAAGTTGGGAAAGGCTCCATCAATTCTATCCCTTAGTTCAAAGATAGCCGAGTGGTAGCTACCATATTCTTGCAAACCTAAGATCCCGTTATCATTTTTTGTTATGAAAAAGTAGTAACAAACATTAAATGTCAAATTCCAAAATTGCCAACTGGCAGCCCATCTTAATCTTGAAATCTGTTCCAAATTAAACTTTCCCGACTAGAGATCAAAAGGAGCCCTGTGAAAATTGAAAATAAAAGAATCCCTTTAGCACTTTCTGAAAAATAGCAATAACAGTCTGTCAAATTCCAAGATGATCACCTGACAGTCATCTTGTCCTTGCGATCAGTGTTAACAAATAATGAGCATACACTACTAGGGACCAAGGGGAAGAAAGTTAATAAGATCTGCACAGTACTTCAATAGAATTATAGATAACAAGACATTTTTAAGGACGCACCAAGGACGAAAGACGATTTGAACAGCCGTCCAACTGAAGGGCAAAATATTTAACAATTTGTTAAAAACACTTCCAAATGGTGTTTATTCACTGTTTCCCAACTTTGTGTTCTGTTCCTATTTGAGCGAAACAAATGCTGGTTTCTAGGTTGAGTTTCCTCTGGCCCTGACAGCAGACTTAGACATTTTGACAGATAGATACACCAGGCATCTATCTGTCAAAATGTGTAAGTCTGGTGTCGGGGCTAGAGGAAACTCGGGCCAGCTGGTTGCATGAATTATTTAAAATATTGGTGGTAAAGCTCATCAAATGATCTAGCTACTGTATGTTCATACGTATCAAAACCCCAATAAGGGGGGGGGGGGGGGGGGGGGGTTCTTATTAATAGATCATTTGTCGTCAACACTAGATAGTCATTTCTTGTTTAAATAGGATTTACAAATAACATTATTTTTGCTGATAACTATTTATTCAGCATACGTTTATTAAAAATGTTTTATATGATTCAGTTCTGTAAAATGAAATAAAGATAAAAAATAAGCATCCACAGTACTGATTTAAACAGACAATGAAGTTAAGTCCAAGTGGAACGTACAGTTTTCAGAAGTAATCTTACCACGTGATCATCTTTGGTACTAGTATTCTATAGAGTGTGAGTGTGCTGGAGGTTTTAGTAATGTTCTGCTTGTTATGACTCCGTACTGTAAAAATAACTGGTTTGATATAAATTAAATAGTCATCAACATTGAAAGAAAGTGGTGTTAATTTGACGGGTCCTATCCTTATAGATGATAAAAAACTGATCGACTACGATGAATCAAGCAATTCCTTCCACTTTCAGCAATAATCATCTTTCGTACATTTATTACTCTTCTTTATATTGACTGCTCACAAAAGTAAGTAAAAAGGACTGCTGTCATGAGTCTGAAGCACTTCAAACTGTGCTATGTAGCCCCTTTAGAAGCCGATAAAGATAAGGAAACATATTTTTATAAGATAAAAGGATTATTTTATTTGATAACAAACAGATATTGCATTTAATGTGTTTTAAGAAAAATAGCAACAAATATAACAATAAACAAATAACTTAATATGATCAAAAACCTGCTGTTTTATCAGCATAAAAGAAGAAAAACAGTTCAACATAAAATATATTAACAAATGTACAAAGTAGATGGATAGATCGCTTTTATTTACTTTCGTTTCTCTATATTACATATTTCATTGTCCGTAAAAAGTAAATCCAAATAGTATCACATCTTAATCAAGTTGGCTCAAGTAAAGATCAAGATTTAAATACAACTGGAGATAAGTTGATGAGCTATGAATTTATCGTATACACATAAGTACAAAACAGCAACACTTAATATCTAGTGTTTATACACATTGTACTGTATTAACATTGATACCCTCAATGTTATAAAGATTTCGTAATATATGTTATGCCCATATATATACACATTAATTTTAACCGAAACGACTGCATATATACAATACTCAAAATTCCGAAACCAAACACCTTGGGATTATTATCTTCCAAAAAAATATTTCTGCATTTTAAACGAAACTTCACTTTTCAACGGCAATGATCCGTATATGTATAATAAAGTTAAGAGAATGTCTTGAAATATATATTTGATATAAAATTGTAGAATTGTTGCAGAATTAAGTATTTTTTTCAGTAGCAAATACAACAGCACGAATGCTGCAGTGTTTAATAATGCCATTGGTAATTATTCTAAAGTAACACAGGGCGTAATAATAACTGATGTACGGAATAGAAGGTAGCGAGGAAAATATGTTGAAAATAATGAAACAATTGCTCAAACTGAGTAATCAATAAGATTTGATGTGAAAGTAAAACAGTTGCACTCTATCAACAAATCAAAGAATTACATGTAGTTCCACAAACATTTCTGAACTTCAGGAAATTCCTGGACGTAGAATTGTTTAATTGAAAATCACATTGTTAGAGTTTTGAATAAACCTTGAGTTAAGGAAAGCACTTTCTAATAGAAATCCTTTAGGTAAAACAATACGTTAATGGACGCGCTCGAAACTCGTGCCATGACAAGTAGGTTTTATTACGCTTGGCACAGGTCTAGGAAAGGAAGAATTGGATATAATGTAGCAGAATAAGTGGGATTAAATGTAGCTGTATAATCACGGAACTAATGAAAATAAGAACAGAAATAAAGAACGTTATGAAGACATTATTCATTATTTGCTGAAATATAGATTTTTGCATAAGATATAATATCAACATATTTTATCACAGAAGTTGGAATCGTGTAACAACATCACATTTTTTCCCTAATGCATTTACGGTATAAATACAGATTGTAGATCAATGTACATTTAATTAGTTCGAATGGATAACATTCACGTAAAGCGACAGAAAGAAAATATCGAATATCTAAAGATTTTTTACAAAATTTAAAAATGTAAGATATACCCTTACGGTACAAAGTTTTGGAACAGCTTTCCAAATTTATATATCTCCTTCACTTTTTATTTTCATCTCGAACTGTTTTGTAATTATTTAACTGCGAGTTACTTCAAACAATATCTTAGATAGAATGTTATGCTTCCATTTTTAGTTTTGCTATAACAATCGTTATTTTCAGGGTCGATATATTTCCGCCTAATATCCATTGGAAATATTGTTCGTTTCTGAAAGAAAGTTAAGCTTCTAATCTTATAAACATTACGTAAAACCACGAAAAAATAATCTCACGAATGTTGCACAACAAAATGGTGTTAATCCGTGAAAAATGAACTAACGAAAAAGAAGATTCACAACAGAAGTTTTGTTTCTTGATCATCGTAACATTCTATATTCTGAGGATGCAATGATTGATGTGTATCATCAACCTATACATAGACGTTATCTGCTATTCAGTTGGCATTTATATTTAATATGAATGCATGTCTAAAGCAGTTTGATGTTACGTATTTTTGAGTAATATATCCGACTACCATACACGCCATAATTATCAGTACGGGTTTGTTGAATGCAGGAGAACAGAATATTTAAAACTTAATATTGTAAAGATGAGACAACACTAACTTAATCCGATAAAATCAGTCGCTACGTGTTACAAATCTGTAGAAATTGGACGCGCAAAAATAGTAACACCTTTTAATGGTGGATTCTGGGAAAAATAATTTTCGATTTACTGTATTCATATGTACAATGCATATAAACGTTTCTTGTATTTAAACAAAAGTAACACTGATGAAACAAAGTTTTTTCACATCAAAACAGAATATATTCATAATCAATTTCATCATTGCCAAGAAAATATGATTTGTGTCACAAAGATCACATAGGGAATCGTCTATTTAAAATGTGTCTACGACGTGATAAAGAGACACGAAATGAAATAAAACATCAGTGAATATTTTCGCCAAACATGATAAACAAATCACAAAAAACGATAGGAATGGAGAACGAAACAACTTGTTACGGAATGCTAAATACAATGTACTAAAATTGATTTAACGTGGTCACTTAATGCGATTGAGTTTCGTTAGAAATATTTCGTTATTTTGTAGTAAAATTATTTATTTGAGCTGGGTAAGTAAGGTCACTATAAATCTTCAAGACAAAACGTTGACACAACTTCAACCATTTTGTAGTGGGCATAACCTTTAAATGTCAATGCGGCCATGCACTTTAAACGTTCTCAAAACATGTCTTATAACAGTAGCATGTTTACTTGAGCCATTTTGTGAAACTGTTGTCCTTTTTCTTGCCCAACTTTTCTTGCGCACCTTCTGTTTTCATCCACTCTTCCGTTATCTTAATTGCGTCCTCGGCGTTTGTGACTTTCTCAACACTGTACTTCTCTTTTGCTGGGAGGTAAATGAATCCCTGTCGCTCCAACTTGGCCTGGATGACCACCCTCAAACATGTTTTAATGTCCGTCGCATCCAGTTCCTCCTCGTCTGAAAACATCAAAGCAGACGTTATCCTCGTTGTCGAAAACAATGACCTTATCATCGAACTTATGTTGAATTATGATTTTATGATTTACAAGGAGATACCTGTATATGACAGACTTTACGAATTATAACAAGATTCGGCTACATTAATAGGTAGCAAACACTGTATATATATATTTTTTAATTTATGAATGTTATATATTAAACTATAAAAGCTGAAATAATACCTCGGTCGTAAAGTCGGTGATATGGAATATCTCACTACTCATTTTTGTTTTTTAATTCTATTGTAAAACGTAATTTATTAAGTTGATGACTTTCAGAAGTTGAACAACAACATATATAAAATAAAGGATAAAAAAAAATCCACAAAATCAAGACCACATAAAACAACATTGAGGTTACTTTAGCCATATATCGGCTGTAGATAGACGTGTGTGAAGTATGACTAGAGTGCTTTGTATACCCGCTAACCGAAGGTTGACAAGCTGGTGTAAAATTAAAATTATAAAAAAAAAAAACCTAGAAAAATATTGCCGTGATCAACTTCCTGTTATTCAGAGTTGTCGAAACTAAGTCTTAATTTAGAAAGCTGTCGATTGTTTTAAAATGAATTGTCAGCTCTGAATTTGAACAAATGCATGCAAATTTTGCATTAAGAATGTTGCTATTCGACGAAATATAACGGAAAAGAGTTTTGGAAAAAAAGGTGTAATTGTAATTACATTGTCAGGTGTGGTACCTAGGCAAGTGGGTAGGTGGCAAAAAGAAAGTAACCTATGTAAACAAAACTAGCATAAACTAAGTTAAGAAAACTGGAAAGAGCTATACTCTTACAATGTACCAATAAATAAATAAAATGTTAAATAAGGTTAGTTTGGAATTAAATATGGGCCAATAAAATACAAACTGAACAGCTTATGAAGTATTCTCACTGATATGTAACAATACCTATGCATATATAAATAGGTAATATGTTTAATTTTAAAATGTGTAATGATGTTTTAAACTAATGAGCTAAATCAAAATCAGAATAAACGCCAGAGGGCGCTAATTCCAGTCGACAATGTAACACTCCGCCCTATCCGTATCCTTGTCTGAACTATACCCCATATCGTTAACTAATATTTACAAACGAACTTAAGCATCTTCATTTTGATTATTCTATAAACAGATTTACTTGGTAAGGTAATGGCATGTCTGAATCAGGCTCATATCGGCCTTGTTGGTTGCCTGATGGGCGAATAAACCACATACCAGTAATTACATAAATAATTATTTTACATCCTATATATGTCTTAATCGTCCAAGTGCACTAATGGCCTTTTAAGCAGTGTGTAAACCTCTACATGTAAACCAGAAAGGTGAATACTATACGACATTTTCTAGGCTATTTGTCTAAAACAAGACTAAATACGTCGTTTAAGGTGATCGTGTTTCACTAATCTGTATACACTGCATTCTAAGCTATAAAACAATGTCGATGATTTTTTTAAGCAAATGAAATGTTTTAGGTGAGTGATTTAGAAAGATGTGCAAGTAGTGCATCAGAGAGTTAACCCCAAATACTCAAAAGTCTCTTCGATTGAGACCAGTTATTAAACCTTAAAGATGAATATTGTTTCATGTTAAAATTCATCTATCGAATCCCTGTAACTAGTTCACTGATTAATATAAAGCTGTTCCGTTTTCGTGGTAGTTCATTTATTAAAGTAATCTTAGTTCCCTGTTAATCCTTGTTAATACCTGTATCTGGTAAACACATTTAATCTTCGTATCTAGCTAAGCTTTTATCAAAGTGTAAATTACCATTCTACTTAATCCCAATACCTTATTGAAACATCTAATCAGAATAGTTTAGAAGATGTGATTCTCCAGTGACTCTGCTACACACATACCGAGTATGGAATGAGCGTTGGCCTCTTGGCCATCAACGATCGGGTGCATCCAGCGAGACTTGCGGGTGATGCGAGCTGCAGGGGGTGGAAAGATGGTCCACAACATCTCCATAACGTCCTTCTTATACAGAGGCTGGCACTTACCCCTCAGAGTCCCGTCATTGCCTGCCGCTACAACACCACAAGTAGACGACGGCCTGTCTTAGCTTCAAACATACCAAGGATGCTTCGTGCCCCACGGACCTTAGAATTTGTTACATTTTAGCCATGTTTTGACCTGAACTAATATGTTCCAATGATATAAGACGTTTAACGGATTTAGATCAGCTTTCAGTAAAAGTGATACTCTCTGTGATGGTTTAAACGAGAAGGAAGGAAAGCTCTTTTTATCGAAAAACCGACCCCACTTGACTTCCTCTCACCAAAAATATAATTCTACCAGATGTATTTGGGATTGTTGGAAAGATGGATTTTTCTTCTTCTTTTTAAAACCTCTTATTTCCACTTTTAATGTATTGAATGCATTCTCCCTTCATATATTTGACCTCCGTTTTCCTTTAAACACACCCCATTTCGATATTTCAAAGTTTTTTGAAATCATGGTGCCAATTTTTGCATATTCATGAGATTGACGCCATCCTTGCTCGGCGATGACCCCGATATCATTACCGGGTAATTTCTCGAATAAAAGAGAATTTTCCGAAACAAAGCACGTGGACCCGATACAGATTTTGACATCAGTACAGCTTGGCGTGATGCAGACGTTAACCTCATGGATAAACATGACTGCAGACATCTCTAAATAGTTGAAATGGCATGTTGTTTAGAGGAAGCGGGGATTTTGTGGAAGGGAAGGAGAATACATTAAAAGTGGATAAAGGAGGTTCGTAAAAGAATAAACAATCAAATTAATCTTAACCCATAAACGTTAAATATCACATTGAAAACATCAGTTTAGGTCCAAACAAAGCTTAACTGTACCAAATTCTCAGACACCTATGCTTCGTGCCACCTGGCATGTGTTTGCACAGCTACTGTTATATACTCGAACTTGTGTACCTACCAATGATGATTCGTGCCACCTAGCACGTCTTAGTGGTCATCAACAGATCGACTCAAGCTAACCTTTATACCTACCAAGGAGGTTTCGTTTCAGCTAGCATTTGTACCAATCCTCAACACAGCTACCCATTTTAACCGTACACATACCAAGGTTACGTCATGCGGCCCAGAATACCTTAGCAAAACCCAACTAAACTACCGACCTCAAACATGTATGTATATGGTAGAGCTTCGGCCACCAAATTATTCAACACAAGACATGTATTCTATATGCCAACAATGCAACTTTCCTGGCACTATCTTTAGTAGCTAAAATTGGATTTATTTGTATTTTATCGAATAGTTAGCACGAAGTCAAATACTTTATATCATACAGCTTAATTCAGAACAGAGCGAATTACTAATCATTTTAAAGAAGGCGTCGATTGTGGTCAATTTTAATGAAAACAGCTAACTCCATACTGTGTACACCGACAAGAATAATTTGGGGTAAGTTTGATTCGTATAGATGTAAAACGATGTCCGACGAATTCAAATACAATTGAAAATCCGAAGGTTAAATTCCAGCATGAGTTACTCAATTACTGCTTAAAGCCAGGAACCGTATCATGTAACTGCTATGTCAAAGTACACGGGTAGACCTGTTCAAACACTAACAGGAAACTAGGACCAATCAAAATAATATCATACCATCAATATGATATTACGTCAAGAAGGCAGATTTTAGGCATAGTGTACATTTCTTAAGATTCAGTTTACGGAAAGGAAATAGAAAGAAATTTGTGTAAGTAACTCAGATTGGACACTGCATGGTAGATGAGTACGAGATTGTTATACTGTTCTAAATCCATTCTGATATATAAGCCATATCTTCGATGATTACACCCTTTTACAAATACATGTACTTCAATCTTAACCCACGGGGTCCAACGTACATCGCTCAGATTTCAGCGGTCAGGAAAAAGAATTGGTGAATAAAGAAAGAGATACCTAGGTGAAATGGGGATTGTGAACGCATGTGAGATTACCAAAAAGCCGGGTTGCACAAAATATAAATGCTGATTCTCTCATAATATTTAAGGCGCTTGCATATTTGTATTTTTTAGTGAATTGGTTTACATGGCGAATTCGTTTGTTTAAAGCCTTGCCAACGTCCTAATTATTATAAGAGAAACATATTACTAGGGAAACGTTTATAGACATGAAAGGTGTATTAGGTACAAAGTGTGAAACTCGTACTAGAGGCATGGTAGAGATCAGATGACACATCGCACATAACGTTGGACGATAGTGTCCTCAAGTACCCGATTTCACACCCGGGAGGGGGATACAAGGTCCAAGCTAGCTCCAGAACCTCCGATTTGTACAGTCCCATGTCTCTGATCCGGGGTAGGATTTGCTGACAGAGGATGCATGAAGCTTAAAAAGTACAACCATCTTTATCTATCAGTATTTACTCAGGTTAGACTTTAAACCTCACCGTTAAGTCTTTATACTGTACTCTACCGTTTAATAATAAACATACAAAATTGTACCGAAAACTTAATTGTGCTAACATAATCATTCAAGTGTAACACGACTAGCATAAATGTTCAATATGTATATATATGTACATGTTTATTATCGTGAATAATATTTTAAAATACTTCCCAATTAGAATGGTAACTCTTTTTTAAAAAATCATGCAAATCTTTATTAACAGCCACTCGTTGTTTTTTTATCTTACCTAGACATGTTTTCCTTGCAAGCTTCTCCTTTATCGTCTTTAAAGCGTTGTAGTCGACTACCGTGAAGACGTTTTCGTTTGATGACGCTATGGCCTCTAGCTCATCCTTATCGTAACCTTCACCAACACCTGTGGATAGGCAAAACACGTGCATGTAGACCGAATTCTTAAATAATACAGCATTGATAACAATAACAATTTATAAAGGAAACGCATGTGGGTCCCATTATTACACATTTGTCCTGGTCTCCGAGTTAAAGAAGCCATCCTATTTTACTCTGCAGCATTATTTGATTTAAACACACCATTCCAGCAAATATATATCTACAGTATAAGTACTGTAGATCTGTGTTGGTCAGAATGTTTACGTAGGGCCTGTCTGTTTATGTGAACCAACTGATTTGCCTATGTTTTTAAAATATGTTATATTTCAGGGACCTTCAAGAAAAACAAAAACATCAATTCACTACGTCCGTCCCTATTTCATAAACGAACAACTGTGGTCCAATCGGTCAACCGTTTGAAACTCGACAAACGAGGGCCCATAGACACTGTTTCGATGTCATAAGTCGTTATCAAAAAACATTAAACGCGACTGAGGTAATCTACGTTTTATATGTGTAAGTGTTACACAAAAACACCTTAAGCAGATTGTATCAGATCTACACTGTTACATGTACTCACCAATGGAGAACACAGTAATGTTGTCGTTGTGTGCGGCCTGGGCAGCTAGTCGGGTGTGCTCGGGGTTGGATGACCGTCCGTCTGTTATCACTATTCCTATTCTCTGTACACCTGGTCTGGCGGACTGAATCAAGCACACATCAAATATCATTATATTTCTAGTATCAAACTGTAATGATTTCATTAGCAGTATTTTCCTTTTTTTCTATTAAAAGATTATTTTATTCATTCTTGGATTAGTAGAATCTCTCATCCCCTTGTGAAAGCCTCGTGTTTGACAACTTAAGAATCTTCCCCCTCAGGTTGAGATTCCCCTATTTCACCCACAAGGGGTTGAATGATCCTTTTTCTTTTACCCTGTTCACCCATTGTGTATTACATACAAAATGTAATGATAACGTTACAGGCTAAATCCAGGGTTGACGTGACGTTGATGGATGGTTGACTTGACGTTATTGTACTGTTGAAGTGACGTCATATCATTGTTATGAATAGTGGAATCCCCCCGTCTCAACCCTAGGGTGAGACTAATAAAATCTTTTACCAGTAACTGAGCGAGATCGGGTTATCTCAGTCGAGGGTTAAGATTCTGTAACAAAATCCCAACCGAGGATGTTACAGAATCTTAGCCCGCACCTCTTAGTTCGAAAAGAACTTTTCAATTTTGCTAAAACTACAAGTATCCCGCCTTGGGCCTCAAATGATAATGACCTCTTCATTACTAACGCTACATTTGAATGTAGTCCGCCCTAACATAGATTACAACGTATTTTACAGTGTAGATTATATTTTTTCTACAAAATCAAATATCTAACAACAACAAAACTATACACATAACGACAAAACAGGACATTTATAATGCAAATAGTCAATTTCAAGCAGTTAACGCGCGGATGAATACATCGCAGTGTAAACGTTCCGCAAAATGTCACGTAAAGGTACAAGACAGATTGGACGAGATAGAAAAATCAAGCATGGGGTATAACGTAGGATATCTCTGTCTGAGGTGCGAGAATAGAATCCATCCCTGATATGAGGTATGGATAAGGTAATTCAAACTCAAGGGATAAAATATTGAGCAGGAGACCCGAGGCTTTGCCGAGGGTCGTTTGCTCAATATTTTTTTATTGAGGGTTTGAATGACCTTATCCTTACCTCACATCAGTGATGGATTCTATTTCTTGCTTATTACCTAAAACCCGTAATAACAGCTGCCCTCCTAGTAAAGTTGTAGACTGTACGCGCACTTCCCATTTGCATATGCAGCACGGATGGCAATTGTTAATGACGTCAATGACCCTGACTGACGTCACTAACAATAGCATGACCCCGAAAGGTCACTATAATTCTTCCGCCAGTCTGCGCGTGTTAGCAATCTAGACCCGTGGGTCGGATAGAATTTTCTTTCCAGCACCGCCGGAAATGCGGACATCTTGATCTAGTATGCAAGAAAAGAAAATCTCACACCGATAAAAGTGCGGAGACACCTGTCCAGGGTAAGAGAAACTTGTTTCCCCAATTTAACATTTATATTATGTTATAAACTGTTTCGTTGACACAAACTTTCACAAACAACTGTTAGGTTTAATGTATGTATTGCCATATTTTTTTCAGATATTTCAGTACACTCCTTTGTGGTGTATCCGACAGAACTCACCAACATCATGTGGGACATCTTTTTTAGGGCCAGATCTGTCCGCGTCACTCCACTTCTGGCCTCTAGTTCATCTGCAGTCACATAGGTCATTTATATACTTTAGTTTACCACGGATAGTCACAAATATTAAATAATCTGGATGATGCCTGTTTGGGTGTTTGTGTTTATGTTTGTGTACACAGGTAACTGTATTACTATGTATTTGTATTACTATGTATTTGTATTACGATGTATTTGTTTTACAATGTAAAATGTCTATATATTTTTGTCTATGAATAAAAAAAAAACATCAGCTAGATGTTGCTTAGATTATGTTGCATTCGTCTTGTATGATGTGTGATGGCCTTACATATATTATATTTAGTATAAAGTTTTGTTTATTAAATACCAACATACTGTTCACAGGTAATGCTATGCATGAATAATGTCTCACACTGACATGGTCAACTTCCTTGACAGGATAATATTTTCCAAAGATTTGTTCCACGCTTTAAACTGTACAATACCTTCGTATGAATATGCTTATAATTCGGTTAAAAAGTTATCGATGCATCGAAGATACAAATGAATCAAATCTGAATTGTTTTGAAAGAGACACAAGTTTAATATGATTAAAATAATTTTTTTAAATAATTTTTTAATGGTTAGATAGGCTGCACGATGGTAATTAAGAAATGTCAGATAGCATACATGATTGAATGAAGACATAAAAAGAAGCAAAATGAAATAATTGTGGGGTACCTATGGCGCTGACGATTCCCCGTTTGCTTGGATGCTTCGTGAACCCGAATGAGTTGTATATGGCGTCGTTGTAAGGTATGACGCCAACTCGGACGCGCTCTGGTCCTATGTCAAAGGAAGACACGACATCTTTGACAAATGTCGTCAGAAACCGGAAGCCACAAGTGCCAATACTTGAAGAGGAGTCTAAGACGAACACTACTTCTGCTGTGGTTCCAGTGCCTACAAAATGGTGTGATGGAAAACATAAATTCTGCGATAGGTCTATAGCATTATTGTTTATAGGTCACATGGTGACAGGTGCCAATAGGAACATCATTGACAAGGCAGTGGGAAGAATATAGGGTTTCAATTAGTTCCACAATTATTAAACTTTAATCGCTTCAAATCCAAAGCGTGGGTAAAAGAAAGAAAACTTTGGCGACCCCCCCCCCCCCCCCCCCCCCCCCCCCCCCACCACACACACACACACACACGCACATAGATATAAATATACAACACACAACTCTAAAGATATTGTCAAAAGAACTTGGACAACTTATATTCTCTTGATGACATAAATACATAGCAAAATCTTTAGATACTATCGAATGATTTTGATAATTCAATGTCCGTTGGTTATAAAATACATACCCCTGAAGACACTGTCGAATGAACTGGACAACTCCTTATTTGTTGGAGATAGCTTGCACTCGCTGAAAAAAGTCACCAAGTCTTGCTTCATCAATTTAGCCCCGTATGCTGTATCGTCGAATGCACGTTCATATTCTGTAATAAACATATACTCAGTAGCACGTATGACATGCATGTATTAGTTTATATGGACAATACTAATTTCTTAATGGCGCACAATGAAAAAATGAAACTTACTAAATTTTTGATCCATGAATTCCTCCATTTCCTTGAGGTCGATGCCACATTGACCCCTTAGCTCACCATATCTGGCCTGGATACGGATGATCAACTCTTTGTATTCTGTGACAAACTTCTGCCACGGCGTCCCGTGTTCTAGCACCGCCTATCACAGAAACAGTGGCATCATATCATACTCCATATATATACATAACATTGTTTATCCAAATTAGGATTAAACGAATATTTCGTTTTTCCTGATACTTTTTTTCGGGATGTAAAGTATTACATTTGTATTGCTTTATGTTAATTTGAATTAATGAACCTCTACTTGTATTCTGCTTTTCACATTGTCAAAAACATGCCCTCATTTAGTTTTATAGACGGAACTGTTAGTAGTAATATCAGCTGTTTTTGTAAAATAAATTTTAAAACAGCAGTGATCCGTGAAAGGAACATAATATATGGTGTGATACGGTGTATACATGGAGTAATATGGTGTATAAATGGTGTGATATGGTATAGACATGCTGTGATATGGGATATAAATGGTATGCTATGGTGTTAACCTGGTGTGTTATGGTATAACAGGGTTTAAGCCTTTATTGCTTGTTTGTAAGAATTTACATATAATGCCTACCTTCCGTTTGAGTTGAGAAAATCGATTCCTAACTCTCCATCCCCGGAACACTTTTTGTATGAGTAGACAGGCGTCACGTCTCCTCTGCTTCTCTAGTCGATAGGAGTGGTAGTGTCTGTAGCAAATATATATATCGAACGTACGTTAATTTCATCACACACATATTTTACACCTTTTTATAACAGATTAAAAATCCATTGAACGTTAAGAAACTTAACCATTTTGTAAATAAAAAGACAATTATATCACACATATAAAGATACATAAACAATCGTTAAACTACCCATATAATGTTACTTATTTTAAGGTTAAAAATATGTTAAGATATATAATATATGAAAGGATTATTTACGCAAATAAATCGGCATGTGGTTTATCGCCATTGCGATCACGCCTCGGTGTAGACTGGTAGTTTTTATAGGTCTTGGTGGTTGTCCGGTCAGTGTCAGACCGCCACGACCTACAATGAAGAATAGTTCAGTTGTTGAAGAGATCATCAACGTACATACGTATATACTGTATACCAGGATACTTGAGCCCAGTCAAACATACACCCTTTACTGGGTTATTTTCGTCTTTCACATATAACGACTTTGTATTGTATGCTGGGTACTAAAATTCGATGTCATGATAAATTGCCCCTCATTACGGAGGGCTAAGTTTCCCAGTATACCGCATCTCATGTAGCTTTTGAAACGGTAGTATGTGTTTAAAATATTTATTGACGTTTTTGCGGTGGCGAATTGTACCCTTATTTCGCATTTACCTTTTTGGTGCTCGCACAATATTCACACTGATACCTATTTGCAAGTGACATTGCAATTCTGACATTTTCCTAAACAAATATGTCAAATGTGTAACAGAAATAATCCAGTTCATAAGTATGATTTTAATTTGCAAATCACACTGATACAATTTTTTTTGTAGGCTGTGTTAAAATGAGCATTGAAGAATGAAAACACAGCATCACGGACCGATAAAATTATTCAAAGAATAGTATTTCGATATGACGACCAACAAGAAATTTAAAGCTCGAAAATGTGAATTTCTTATGTGCAACATAATGTAACAGAGAATAATTTCTACCATATGTTTATTTACGTATGTAAAATGATAAGTGGTATCTATATGGAACCATCAATGCGAAGAGAAATATATTTTTGTGCTTAAACCAATTATAAAATGCATCTAAAACCTTTGGTCTTGTAAATTGGCATCGCAATAATGCATAACAAAACACGAAAATAATTGTTGACGGTAACGAGCAATAATGAATGTGCCTCGTTTAAATGTGAATGTAAAATAATACATTTACATTCAGCGACCCTTGGCAGAACCTGAAGATTATTGATTGGGTTGGGGCCTATTGTATCATCAGAGTTGTATGCCTATTCCGGTGACATTAATAGTTAAATTTCAATTATCGTAGTGTTTGATAATTTCGTAATGCTTTGATATTCTTTAAAAGTTTAAGAATGTCTTTTCTCTCTCATACCATTGGCAACTAAGTCGTTATTTACAATAAGCAAGGAATCGCTCTGGATGTCAATTGGTACAACATGCCATACACAACCCACTGGTGAAATTAAAATTGTCATGTAAATTGTATTATATTCTCATGGGTATCGATAATAGAGTACGTTGATTTATATCGCGTTTCAGACTTAATGAATAATTTTAAGTGTAATCATGACAGCCTTATTGTTCCGTTGATACGACAAAACTACCCCTGTTCCATGAATATACTAATTCGATATTAAATTGAAGTCTCATGTCTTTAATATAAACAATACAAACTAGCATCAAGTGAATACACAGTCACTTGTTTCACCGTAAAAGTAAAATGCCAACGTCAAAAACGAGGGGAAGTAAATCCAACGTCAAAAACGAGGGGAAGCAAAACCAATGAAGAACAGTTTGTTGTTAACAAATAAATACAAAATACATTTTCACGTTTTTGTTTTGAAGGGTTGATACAGAAAAGATCACTTTTCATATTGCTCCATAAAAAAAAAAGACTTTTGCATTTGAATTCCTTAATTTTGAAGTGCTTTCCTTTCAAATGAAAAATCAAGTTATTCAGATTTCATTACAACTGGACTATTTTTTTTTATCAAACTTTTTTTTTTTACTCAAGATCAATTTAAAAAAATAAATTGATGACAATATCTCACTCAGTCCCTCACCCACCCATCCACCCCAAAGCAAAAATTTCAAATCAGTTGATTGCTGGAAAAGTATTTGAATTGGAATATATGTAAATATTCTGCCTGAAAATACATTGATATATATATATATATTTATATAATCATATTGTAATAAAATATCTTCCTTTTTGAATTGCGTCGGAAGATATTTTGAAATCATTATAAAAACCTGGTTGCCTCTCCATGCAAGTATAATCAATTACATGTACGTATATCAATATGATAGACTTACATTAGTCTTTTTAACCTACTCTTTACAATACTGAAAAGTCTTTCTTAAACAGAAATGGACTGCCCATGTCACTTTCGTTCGAACTACAAAAAGTTTATCATAGCATCAACATAGGGAGCAAAATATACCTAAACGTCACCCAACAAAGACAGAATATACCAAAACCTCAACTCACAAAGATAATGATCAACAATGTTTCATTTGATATTTAAATTTAATCACTCCGACGAGAAAAATATTGAAACGTGGTGGTCGGTTAAATAAATGGATATTCGTTGATATAGTTCAATGTACTAATTCACTAAGGCCAGTCAGTCGTTTATCGTGATCAAGCGAATCATGTGAACTACTCATTATAAAAGTGTATGCTACCGTGAAAGTAATGTCATGAAATATATTCTATATGTGACAATGCTATATAATATCCGATCTAAAATAGTCTAATGTTCATAAATAACTTATATGTAGATGTTCTGTTTTCCATTTTAAGCTGCTTTATCATGTTTGTTGTGCCAAATGAATAATGTACACGATAGATTAACTTTGCTTGTTTGTGACGTTAACAGTGACATGTCATAAAACATAGAGCATTAATACCGTCGACGGTTGAATCTCGCACCTGCTCAGTGTTGCGCTTGATTGGAAAACCATAAACCATTCCTCGCATTTGTCACATGAAATTGTTTCTGTTGTCAGACATGGAAGTAAGCAATGACATTTTAAAATTGTTTAGGATTATGAAACGTGCCAGAATGAATGTATCGTTTGCATGAATAATAGGTAATATATTTATAATAAGAGGAAAGGCCTAGAAATGTAATGGGTTGTCAAAGGGATAATACATTCATCTGCTTTTTGTTGGTGTATATTGTACTTGTAACGTAAATAAGGTCAACGTTTGGTTTAAACTTTGTTTTATTCAAATTTTGTTTGACAATACATCGAAGTAGATGTTTTATATAGGACAGAATAGGAAACGAAAACAAGTGTCGTGACACTTATGTAAATTTGTTACCTGCTTAATAATCAACTTTTCAACACTAGCTACAAGAATGAAGTAATATGTACAAAAGATAATTACGGGAATATGGGAGGGGTAATGGATTGGTATGCAGTGGAAACCAGGAATGAATAACATATCAATATACGTATGATCATCAGATGGTAATATCATATTGCTCTATTGCAATGAGTATGTGGAACTCGAATCTGTAAAATATAACTATGCAGTAGTGGATGAATATTTCAGCAAAGCTGTAAATGGACACTCGATAAATGTTAAAATGTATATACAAGTTACATAGCATAAATCACCACAAAATCAACTATTGATAAAATTAGTATGTCACAAAGCACCGCCATGATCATTAAAAACGTTGCAGTTCACATACTAGCCATCAAACTTATCAAATATAAGATCAATGGCAAAATCACTGAATAAGCATATAAATCCAAATGCATTTAAAAACATAGTAGTAAAACGAATGCAGCACACCATACATATATATATATATATATTTATGTCAAAAAGAAATTGTAAGGACTATTCGTGTATTTGAAATCTTTTAGTTTTGAGTATATAATTTTGGACTGCTAGAAAAATTGAAGTGTTTTCTTGATGGGTTAGAGGGTCATCACCATAGATTAAAAGATTAGTTGATCGTTGATACGGCAAACTCAGAATATGAAGCTGTCTAAGTTCTGTATATATATTGCATTTTAGCAAACAATGTGTTGAGTTCTCAATGGCACCGCAGGAACAATTCGGGGATGGTATGATGTTTTTCGTAGACAAGTGTTCTTTTAGGGAGCTACATGACATACGCAGTCTTGCGTGGTATATTTGACCCAGATGTGAACCCAGAGAAAGTAGTATGAAGGTGGTCATGAATTACTATTAGATTTCAGAAAGGCTTTTGAATGGGAAATGAAAGGGTTATTTCTAATATGTAATGGAAGAGAATTCCAATTGTTTACAGCAGAAGGAAGAAATGCATTTAGATAAATATTTGTTTTACAAAAAATTGGTGTTAGACATCATGGGTCAGAAAGTCTGGTATTACAACTATGAACATCACTAACTGAATTAGGTAAAAGATTATCCAGATACTCTGGAGGATTTTGATAAAACATTTTATGGAATTGTAACAATTTATTATTAAGTCTACGGTCTATTAATTTATTCCATCCAACTTCTGTATATAGTTTGTCAAAGCTTACAAGTTTAGTAGCTCCTGAAACAATCCTAGCAGCCTCCAAATTAACATTCTCTAGTTTAGAAATATATTCTTTGGCAATGCTATCCCAGACAGTATCAGCATATTCTACAAGTGGTCTAATAAACGAAAAACATGTATTTTGTAATGTTTGCCTGTCGAGTTTAAATTTTAGAGATCGCATAATATTAAATCTAGATGTTCAACCCAACTGCAATTATTGGGAAAAAAAATAACTCCAAGATGTTTATGCAACAGTATCTCTGATATTTCTTATGTGCACATATGTAAGATTGGATGGGGTTTACTGTTTCTTTTTCTACTAAGGGTCATGCTTTCCGTTTTTTAGGATTGAAATCAACTAACCAAGATTTGGACCATTCAGTAGATCTGACTCCACAATGTGTTAACGTTTGAATGTACATCCCTATGTTGACACAGAAAAATATCAATCCCAGCGTAAACAAACGAAAGCAAACGCGCGAATCAAACTGATACTTAGAAAGACAACAAAAGAAAATTAAGGTTAACTTTAACAAAGACATAAAGCTGAAGACGAAAATTAGGTGTTCCAGAAAGTTAAGCGTTTGACACACGTCAGTCACCAATAATCGAAGGTACGGTAAACGTGTCATAGTACAGATAGAAAGTCTGTCATTTAGAAATTGTGGTAAAGTTTGTTAACGGATACTGATGCCTCTCACGAAAAATTTGATCTGTTTAGGTCATCCTTTTACTAAAAACTGGTTCCGAAGTAACCAATCAATTGCAACACCTGACAGGATAGTTTCTTAATCTGTTTGGTAGAATAAAGGTGGACATAAATCTGTGTTGAATGTTTACTTTTTGTACACAGTGATACATTACTACTGCCATCTAGCAGACACAACAACTGGTATATTTACTCACATGGAACCCTTGGCATTTGATGACAATCTGTGAAGAAAACAGACATATTTGAGATAAAAACACCAACAGTTTACTTAGTTTATCCTATTAACGTAATTTCATAAGACATTTTAATGGGAGTAATGAAAAAGTGCACTGGTAAATTGAAGTAAATTGTATGAGATTAGATAAAGAAGTACTTCTAATCACAGGTTAATTAGATAAAAAGTACTTCTAATCACAGGTTATTTAGATAAAAAAAGTACTTCTAATCACAGGTTAATTGGAAAAGAAAACATGTACTAAAACTTACTTTGGATCATGCTGAGAAACTGACGGTGCAGGCGCCGATGACGTCATTTTGTTGTATAACCAAATATTGAAGTCATCTTCCCAGAGCCATGTACCTAAAGGCGGAGTCCGAAGTTTCGGCTTCTGTTTATTGTTTCTGGAAAAAGCCATGTTAACATATCAGACTAAATCATTTACTGAATCACAAAAAGGGTTACTTCTCTGATCTACACCGTGCTACTGTATATTACGCTGGCAACCGTCCTGCGTCAGGGATTTGATATGATAGATTGGAGATGGTATCCCATTGAAATTTATATCTTGGAGTAAGGCGTTTTAATACTTAATAAGTACATTATTGTCACAGTAGGGAAAATGACATCACCTTGGGTAATACAATGCCTTATGCATTGTAACGTGATCGGATAGAGTTAAAGGCTGCTCAAAGGCCTGTCCATTGAGGCTGGTAGGATGCAGGGACTATCTAAATAATACATACGATACCTGTTCCTTTCATAACGACAGACAGTACGTAAATGATTAGACCATGGGGTTATATTGCCTCGCTGAATTATTTTAATTGATGAGTATTTCTAATTGACATTATACTGAAAACACCTAGTTTAAATTAACTCCCCAGATTGTCCGCATTAACTCTCCTCGAAAACAATTACATTTGGTATTGTCAAGAAAATGATGTCTTCCTCAGTATAAAAGCACTTTATATTCTCGGATGCACCCCATCCAAACATCCCGTTACACCTTTGTGAATTGTTATAATATACCATTTTATGCATTTCCTGTTCAGGGAAAAGCATTCGACAGCCTCATAAATCCAAATGTATTATTATTTGTGGCTTTGAGGACTATATATTTCCTGCAGAATCGGGAGATCGTATCATCTGCTTAGAGTTTTGTTGCAGTAACCCACATTTATCTAAATATAAAGCTTTTTAACTATATTAACTATTTGTACAGTTTGGATATTTATCTTTAAAAATTCGATACCATCGCATTTTAACTTTATTGACTCATGAAACTCGTACCGTCTAGCAGTAACTATTGCTTGACTCTGTGTGACAGGTTTTTTAATGATGACCAGTGTGCCCTTTCATGGCTTGTTGTGTTGGTTGGTCGTTAAGACTAGATTGACAGTATATGACCCACTTGTAATGATGACCAGTGTGACCTATTATGGCTTGTTGTGTTGGTTGGTCGTTAAGGCTAGATTGACAGTATATGACCCACTTGTAATGATGACCAGTGTGACCTATTATGGCTTTTTGTGTTGGTTGGTCGTTAAGACTAGATTGACAGTATATGACCCACTTGTAATGATGACCAGTGTGCCCTATCAAGGCTTGTTGTGTTGGTTGGTCGTTAAGACTAGATCGACACTATACGACTCACTTGTGATGATGACCAGTGTGACCTATCAAGGCTTGTTGTGTTGGTTGGTCGTTAAGACTAGATTAACACTATACGACTCACTTGTGGCGATGACCAGTGTGACTTATCATGGCTTGTTGTGTTGGTTGGTCGTTAAGACTAGATTGACACTATTCTACTCACTTGTGGCGATGACCAGTGTGACTTATCATGGCTTGTTGGGTTGGTTGGTCGTTAAGACTAGATTAACACTATAAGACTCACTTGCGGCGATGACCAGTGTGACTTATCATGGCTTGTTGGGTTGGTTGGTCGTTAAGACTAGATAAACACTATACGACTCACTTGTGGTGATGACCAGTGTGACTTATCATGGCTTGTTGTGTTGGTTGGTTGTTAAGACTAGATTAACACTATAAGACTCACTTGCGGCGATGACCAGTGTGACTTATCATGGCTTGTTGGGTTGGTTGGTCGTTAAGACTAGATTAACACTATAAGACTCACTTGTGGCGATGACCAGTGTGACCTATCATGGCTTGTTGTGTTGGTTGGTCGTTAAGACTAGTTTGACACTATATGACTCACTTGTGTCGATGAGCTGTGCTATTTATGTATTTGGGGACTCTTGATTTCAAGATATCTTGATCTCTTAACTTTTGTTTTTTATTTTTTATTTTGCAGCGACTTTAAAAGTACTATAGTAAAGCTTTTCTGTTGCCAAGTATTGGTCCTCGTGATTAGTACCAACTTAACAAGAACAGTTATGATTCGTCTTAAAACCGAGTGTGTTCTATACACTATTATATGCCTACCTTAGTTCGTAAACATTTCCGTATTTTGAGTTAGTGACGAATTTCCGGCTTTTCTTTTTCAGGTCATTTTTCTCGATATCTTCCGGTAAGTATGCATCGTAGAAGAACGCTGAAAAATATTATAATAACCAATTATATACGGCATAAATATGAAAATCAAAGGTCAGTAATATTCAGAAATTTAGTTAATTTAAGATTGTCTTCATTTCATTGTGCATTGCGTGGTCTCGACCTACTGAATAATAAACATGCCAGATCACAATCACAAATAAACCTAATGAATAATGTAATGGCATGTATTGGACATCAATATATTTCTGGCATCATTAGGAAAACAAGTGTCCTGAAAAACAAATATTGAGTATTGATCTGAGTACAACGGACAACTATTGTTAAAATAGAGCTGTCATATAATTCTTGGTGAGGTGTAACGTATATTTACATGTACTGTCAGTATCTGATCATAAATGAGTTACGGGTGATTTTTGGCAACATATTACAATATTGAAAAGCGTCATTGTTATTTTCCGTCATAAATAATGTTCTTTACATTTCAAATGATTCACCACCAATGAAATAAATTCCAACAGATAACTGATATGCACTTAGCGCGAGCCCCTCATAATTTGAGCGCGTTAGAGGAACAACCTTCACCTGTCAAACCATTTTCGTTGACCCATTCGAATAACTGAAAGGTAACACGTATATATGTGTTTGTATGTAGAACTATACGTGGAAGCTCCTTTGTTAGACGTGGCGTGCCCAGTACCCACTGAAAGACAAGTATCGCCCCAGGTACATTTTTTACCCACAACCCATCTCGGTGAGAAGCTAAACTGATATCATCTATATCGTAATTTATTTAGTTAGTTTTTAATTATTTCATTCATGCAAGGAAAAAGTTGGTAAATGTTCCATATAACGAAATCAGCATGCGTCTGCCTTTATGATAAGTCAGTGGTCAGTTCCGAAAGAACTTAATTTAATAGGTGCATAACCATATTTTGTTATAATACTGTAACAAAATGTCCTATTCGAGGTTATTATGCCGTACTGCGGCGTCCGTTGGCCGTCTGTCGTCCGTCGTCCGCCCGTCAACGTTTTCTTTTGAACGAATTCTTCTGAAGAAATGGAAGACATAGGGTCATGACATTTGTCCAGTAGGTACCTGGGATAGAGTGCTATAAAGCTTCCTCATTAAAATGACATTGACCTACTTTCAAGGTCACAGGGGTCAAATATGTTAAAAACTTCAACCAAGAATATTCTAAGAACCTTTTGGACTAGAGTCATGATACTTGGTTATGTTATGTATACCAGCAGTGCAAATACTTTTCTGAACTACAGTAATGAGGTCAAAGGTCAACATTTAGTGCTAGTCGGGGGTCAAACGTTAACATGAGTTAAAAGCTTTAACAATCTTCTTCTCAAGTTCCATAAGGTCCAGGGTCATGATATTTGACCAGTAGGGACATGGGATGGAGTGTTATACAGTTTCCTCATTAAATGACCTTGAACTTCTTTAAAGGTCACAGGGGTCAAATATGTTAAAAACTTCAAACAACAATATTTGAAGAACCATTTGGACAAGAGTCATGATACTTGGGTATGTTATGAAGACCAGCTGTGAATTGTTTTCTTTATTACAATAATGAGGTCAAATGTCATCTTTAATGAAGTGTTTAAATTATTAAATTATTGACAAAAAACATTAAAAAATACTACATATCGCTACTTTTTATTCGTTCAGATATTTTTTTTGTTATCATTATTTTTTTTTAATATATTTTTTCTATTATAAATGATAAGAATATTTGGTTATTCAGCAGTTTTAGCAAGTCAGTTGATTCAGTGGCAATGTTACTGTAAGCATATTCCTTTTAAAATGTCATGTCGTACAAGGATATTTAGCACAATTAATATCAACTTACATCGGTATACATTTTTTGTGGCATATTGAAACTAGTATGCATTCGGTAGCAATGAAAATAAAAGTTCTTAATATTACGCTTTTAGTGAGTCATTGTAGCAGGTCCCATACGGGAACCTTTAATGGGCAATTATAGCACGTCCACTACGGGAACATTAAATGGCGACAAAACGTTATAAAGGAAGTCCTACATTGACATCTGTTATATTTTGTATTGAATGCCCCTGTTGTCAATAAATTGTTACATGAAATTGTCTTCCATTTTCGGCAACAACTGAATGTTTAATTTCCGACATATAAAAAGCTAAAAAAATACAGAGCGACACGAAATATGCCAATGAGATCAACATTCATATTGTACAAAGTATCCAAAACTAACCAATCGCTTACTATTTCATCACAAACGCATTAGACATTAACAAAGCGAAACGTAGCAGGGCGTTTTATTTCTTTGGGGATTTCTACGTGCAGAATCAAATATATTCAATTTTAATTTGATGCAAGTTCAAACAAGTTAATTGGCAACATTCAAGGTGACGGTATAATATCTCCTTTTTGTTAAAAAAATGGAAAGAGTTACACGAGTACAACAAACTATGAGGATAGAAAATCACTGAAATGCGTACGTACATGTAACATACACTTACAACAAAGAATTGTTTATAATAAATAAGCGTTTTGTGGAATATCACAATCATTGATAACTGTAATACTTGACACATGAGTGGGTCGATACTAGACATTCACTCGGCATTCACTGTTTAATCACGTATCATACAAGTATACCAGTAGTTCAATAGGTAGATTTACAGGTATAGATTACAGTTGTATATAGTTGTATATAGTTGTATATAGTTGTATATAGCTGTATATAGTTGTATACAGTTGTATATATTGGTATATAGTTGTATATAGTTGTAAACAGTTGTATATAGTTGTATATAGTTGTATATAGTTGACAAAGGCAGAAGCGTCAACAAAACCATAATTCGATCTCAAAACCAATAAAACTAGGGCATAAGGTGAACAAAAGAAACAAGTATGTGGAGAACCATGAAAATGTACCAGGTGTCCCGGAAAGGTTGTCTTCTGCTTTATCGACGGGTAAAACCCAAGAAATGACACGTCTTCTCGGGTATAATATCTCCTTTTTGTTAAAAAAATGGAAAGAGTTACACGAGTACAACAAACTATGAGGATAGAAAATCACTGAAATGCGTACGTACATGTAACATACACTTACAACAAAGAATTGTTTATAATAAATAAGCGTTTTGTGGAATATCACAATCATTGATAACTGTAATACTTGACACATGAGTGGGTCGATACTAGACATTCACTCGGCATTCACTGTTTAATCACGTATCATACAAGTATACCAGTAGTTCAATAGGTAGATTTACAGGTATAGATTACAGTTGTATATAGTTGTATATAGTTGTATATAGGTGTATATAGTTGTATATAGCTGTATATAGTTGTATACAGTTGTATATAGTTGTATATATTTGTATATAGTTGTATACAGTTGTATATAGTTGTATATAGTTGTATATAGGTGTATACAGTTGTATATAGTTGTATATAGTTGTATATAGGTGTATACAGTTGTATATAGCTGTATATAGTTGTATACAGTTGTATATGGTTGTATATCTATGTATATAGTTGTATATAGGTGTATACAGTTGTATATAGTTGTATATAGTTGTATATAGTTGTATATAGGTGTATACAGTTGTATATAGTTGTATATAGTTGTATATAGGTGTATACAGTTGTATATAGTTGTAAACAGTTGTATATAGTTGTATATATTGGTATATAGTTGTATATAGTTGTAAACAGTTGTATATAGTTGTATATAGTTGTATATAGTTGACAAAGGCAGAAGCGTCAACAAAACCATAATTCGATCTCAAAACCAATAAAACTAGGGCATAAGGTGAACAAAAGAAACAAGTATGTGGAGAACCATGAAAATGTACCAGGTGTCCCGGAAAGGTTGTCTTCTGCTTTATCGACGGGTAAAACCCAAGAAATGACACGTCTTCTCGGGTAGTGACAACAAAACCAGCAGGCTTACTAATGAGCATAATCAAAAGCATCGGCCTTTATATCTCACAAACAAATAGCATATTTCCCTTGAGATCATATCATAATGGCGGCCATACACTTGTCCATAGTCCTCATCAACCTTCATCTTTGGAAACCCTGTGTGGTAAGTTTGTCAGTCAGCAGTCGACATCTATCACGGAAGTCATGATATTGGAGTAAGTTCTAGAATACCGAATTAACTGTACAAGTATAACCGTAGGTAGAGGAAGCAGATATGTTAATATCGAGAAAAGGAAAACTCACCATTGAATGGTCGAAATCGTCACTTATTCTGTTGAAATAATCTTTCACCGATTACAACAAAAATGAGATCGACCAGACTTTCGGTCCTGTGTTTAATATCACCATCTATGTTTTATCAAGAGTAACAAAAACAACGTGTATTTTAACTGACGTTTGAGTTTGCATTTGCAAGCTTTATACAAAAAAAGACTATGCTTCCAAACTTATTCAAAATGTATAGAATAATGTTAACGGGAAGTTCAAATCTACCAAATATAAGTAGTGGATATGAAAATTTAATTAGAAGTTCACAATTGCTGATGTTAAGCATAGATATTCCGAAAGTATGTTACTGAATGACAATTTTGTATCGATTTTAAAGGAGACACAATAGTTTAAGGGAGATATTTTGAATAATTTATGTATCGCCAAGCGTCATAACTTCCCTGTGTTATCAGTGAATGGGGTTTGGTATGGTTTATATTACTTGTCATGCCTATAATATCCTCACAATGCTCCCGCAGAAACGCCTACATCGGTTTAGGTTGGATGTTATCAAAAATACCGACATGCAGGCCAATAACGCATTGTCCAAGTACTTCAACAGAGGCTGCACGGGGACAAAATTTGGGTTGTGGTCAGTGGTATGATACGCTTGATAAAAGATAATTGAATTTTCTTTTGTTTCATCTATGTAATGAAACAATTTATTACATATATGACGTTTCATAAATTCACATTTCTAGGAAAATAAATGTATGATCATATACATAAACTCACATCCTAAAACGTAAAGGTATGAATATATACATGAATTCACATTCCTATAAATTTTT